ATCTTCCCGATTACTGCTTATACTCTTATTACCTCTACCACTACGGGATTTGAATCGACAACTGCATCTCTGTGCTAATGTGGTGTGGCAACTCGAACTGATGTACGTACGTACGAAGTTCTACGTTGTTACTGACTGACTGAGGTGAATCCTCAATACCCACTGGCCCGGTTAAAGCGCCGGACATTCGCTTTTTGTCTTCTCGATTTCGTAAACAATACCCCACCGCGAGAAGGCAATAAGTGGAACTTTCCTGGCAGTGGTTGTATGCACGTGGTAATGTGAGAGCATTTCGAGAGGGAGGGCTGACTCTTCCCATCCCCGGTCGTACGAGGACACTTGCTGAGTTGTTCTCTATTTTCGGATTTGCTAGTGTGGTAAATTGCATTCTGGACCAATAGTCATTTTGTGTTACTCTCGTTTTTTATCTCACACTTATCGTGTCATTGGTTAGCCGAAGGTCGTCAGTACTGGATAGACAATGTAGATAAGCTAATGGGTACATGATTTGGATCAATACAACTGCTCTCCTCTCTTACGGTCCGGTCTCACATGTCCAAATAACTAAACAAGAAAATCTGATTATTTTCATCGATACAGCGGTGTGATATATAACACATTTTTGTATCAGATGGCCACTGGTGGCCTTTAGAATATCGCTCCTTCGATTAAAACATATCGTTTAAACTGACCTATATGGTAAATAAAAACCTACTGAAAGCAGTCACTCTGTCAGTCATAAGTAACGTGGAACCTGGCTTTCTATTTCTTACATCGCCGAAGCATTCACCTTACATTTAAAGAATCCTGAGCTAAATATGTATCGATACTTATTTAACATATATTATCGTCCTAACCTATAGTTTTCCAAAGCCATCAGTTCCCCTTCTCATACCTCCCGCAGTAGGTTGTTGCTGATCGTATCTGGTTAACGATCACTGAGGATCTTTGGTAGACTTTTTTTGATGAAAAGTACAATTATTTATAAATAACTGTCTACGCAAAATATTCAATGTCCGTCGGTCGAACATCAGCGGCAGCCTACTGTCGGAGAGAACAAACCACCTTCAAAATGAAGAGGAAATGAGGAAAAGACTTTGGAGATAGGTGGGACATACACTGCGGAAACCATCGAACTGGATCACATAAAAAGCCCTCACTTGGGGTCCTGATGGTAAAAGGAAAGAAGGGAAACCGAGGAACACATTGCGTTGGGAATTAAAAACAGACATCAAAACAATGAATAGCAATTGGAAACAACTGGAAAGAATTGCTCATGACAGAGTTCGTTGAAAAATCCTGGTGGGCGGACTATACTCTTCTACGTGAGGTAACAGAAGCAAGTACGTAAAGTCGTCTCTTGGTCAAACCATGTATGGAGTGGCAAATATCCTCCCAGCGTGGTCCGAGACAACTATACGAGACTTTATCGTGCTCTGATCTTGGAGCGATTGATTGCCATCGAGTGAATAATACTAAAGTCGGACGCATTGTGCTAGATGAAGATGGTAAATCAGTTGATGAAATTGGGAATCTTCGTCGATTGAAGTGATTGGAGTATACATGACGTATGCGTAATCACTGCCTACATTAGCGGGTGATGTTCGCTGGTGTAAGAGTAGGTAAGGAATAATCTAGGTGAAACAAAACATTAGCGGCATCATGTAGGCAAGTGCAGACTACCTACTTGGGGTTCTCGTGATTACTGTAATCAGTGGTTAGAGGCTGAATAACATGGCTCAGAATCGTTCCTAATGTCTTAGATGAATTCAGTCTCTGTTTTAAAATACTTTTATGTTTTGTTTCACGAATCCATTCTTTTCTGAATCATATTATCTATACCTAATGTTTTATGCTATCATTGATATTGTCACTACTCCTACTACTGTGGGATTTGTTTTGATAATTTCATCTTGTGCTGAAGTAGTGTGGTAACTTAAGTCGATCCACACGTGTCCCAGGTTCTACGTTGCTTATGACTAATTAACCCGAAACTATTTGAGTTAGAGAAGTTGCATTTACCCTTTATCTTTGTCCAAAGCATGAACATAACAGTGCTTGCAATATCTGAACCAGTGTCCATCTGAATGTTAACAGGTGTTCCGTTAACCGAAATCTCAGTACATTTTCACTTTGCAACCAAATTAACACTCGAAATGTCTAATTTTCCATTAAATGTGCCTTATACTGCCTATCCTCCATTGACTTTTGCGGGAATCCGTGTTAAAGCTGAACTATGAACATGACCAGCACCAATAGGACCTTGGTCACTCTTTTACCTAGATTTTAATGGGCCATTGCAGGAAAAACAGTTCCTCATTATCATCGATTTATTTTCAGAATGAACAAAAGCTTTTATGGTGAACACTTTTCACAAATGCTACGGTATGGAAACTTATATTGATTGATCGTTCTAGACTATCACATGCAATATTTCTGACAATGGAACACTGTTTACTTCAATCCAGTTCGAGGTTTTCTGTGTGGAAAACAATGTCAATCACTTCAGGTTCCCATCATACTACTGTCAATTAAATGGTCAGACAAGACGGGTTATTGATTCGATAGAAAAGCAGTTCAGAAGGCATAAGGGGAAGGAGCTGTAGAAGAAATCGTACAGAATTTACTGCTAAGCTGGCACTCAACACAGATTCCCACAATAATGAGTGAGAACTCCCCAGCAGAAAATCCGAATGATTTCTCATAAATTGGAATTATAACTGTAAATGATGCTGTTAACGCTAAAAGTTGTTATCTTGAGAAAGCTTTCTTGGTGAAGAGTTTCCACAGTTTCAAATCAGGGTGGTTATATGGCATAGTAGAAAAAAACAGGCAGTCATACACTAAATGAAAGTGAGTGAACCTATGTGGAGGCGATTTTCTAATCACATAAGAGAAGGGTGTAAAGACGACTCACTGATGTGAACAGAAAAACAAGAAGCTATGTGTTATGTCCCGACAAGAATAATGAATGGTAACTTTTGGGATCTATTTATGGACCAATACTAAACGTATATTTCTACTGTATAATTATTAAGTAACTAAACTATGCATATTCATATCCCTCTTATTATAAGCTTTATTTTGACCCATAAACTATTATTGTACGTTTTACCATTCTTGAGTTATACCCAGTATATTAATTAATACCTCCCTCATTCACAGCCACATCTGGCTAATGCTTGTACAAATGTTGTTTCATATTTTATTGGTACGTTGTGGTCTGTTTGATTGGTATGTAAACCGAGTATGTTTGAAATACATGATTCATATCGCGGAGGCTCGGATTGGTGTTCTGGACTTAACTGGCTGGGCTAGGCAGGAAGCAGGACCAATCAGGGCTCTGGGCTGTTCATACGGGTTTACGCATCCTTGGTCCGATCGATAATTCACTGCTCCCTAATCGGCGGTCACAAGTTATAACACTATGATAAACCACGGGTACTATTTTGGGACGTTGTAATTTAATTCAAAGCCTGTAAAACACTGAAATTTATTTTCCCCCCATAGTTTATTCTACAGACCATAAACTTTCGTTTGATGTATAATTCACTGCCATACCCATTTTTCATCCAAAATTACTCTAGACTCCCAGCTTTGGACATAATTGTATTTTCTTAACTGTTTGTTCGTTATGGCCATGTTAGTCATCTATTTATTCATGTACCTTTTTGTGATAATCTAAATGGGAATCGGTAATAAATCGAGTAGTGTTCCACTTGCATCATCTTCTTTCGTGCGCGCTTGTCAGCCAATCAGGTGATAGAATGGTTTTTGTCTCTCTTCTCAAGGCAGTTAGTCTCACTTCGATCTCACTCGATTCTAGCCTCGAGGCTAAACCAGTCAGCCTATCGTATCCTTGTCTTAATTTAGATTAAGACAAGCTATCTTCTGTATATTGGTGGGTAGATAGATCAAGGACGTAACACGCAGTTAATCGCAGATTGAGAAACCTTACTGAGAGAAGTACTAATAGAAGATCCAGTGAACAAAAAAGCTCGAAAAGTTTGAATTACTACCACAAAACTAGCCCGGGAGATCGCATTAATTACAAGAAGGACATCTAACCTCCAAGTCAATCCATTTGAAGTATCGTACTCATACATATCCAGGTAAACCAGGGAAAGTGTTAGGATTGGATAAAATGCTAGATCTTATTCAGTTTAATATTCCTCTTAATTTATTGTGATATTTATCCAATATAACGTTCTCTTGTATGAATTTTGTTTAAAACCAGTTTGTATATTTCCCTTATTTCACTTACGGATGATACTCATTAAGTAGTCATCAAATACCTATATATATATATATATATATATATATATTATATATATATAATATATATATATATATATATATATATATATATATATAATATATAATATATATATATATATATATATATATATATATATATATATATATATATATATACTTTTAGTCAATAAGTGACTGGCATATTTTTAAAAGACGAATAAAATCCCCATCTATCATAAGTTCTTATCTTTTTCTCATCGTGCAAATCTCCATGTGTTCCTCTAATATATTCATTGTTTCTAGTTATAATATTGCTCTATAATTTTCATTTTCTTATTGTATTTGTATCTTTTAATTTGTATTTTTTTGTTTTTAGTACTGATGATACTACTAACCTTCACTTCTTAGTTTTTTTTTCTATCTTGTTGATTTCTACGCGGTGTTGTTATAAAACATGCGAGTTTAAACTGGAATAAATTTTGTGGAATCCTACTTTATTTACGTTTTGACTAAAAATCTAATTAAACAAACAAAAATTTCATATTTTCATCTGTAGCAAATCTTTCAGTAAAATGTTTGTTATCTTGGAAACAACCGTTATAAAATAGTAAGATATGTAATACTCATTTTAAGTGGTTGGCCTTTTTTATTAGTTTGGGTTTTGCTCGTTATTAAACACAAGTAAATATAATTAATAAAATGTAACAATTATATTTTCAACATCTCAAACTTTGTCATTTTAGATCTGAGCCTTATTTGGTGACTTTACCTTCACAACCTCTGGACACGCTGAAGTTGAAAGAACTACTCTATCAACCGTACTGTTCGTTTTGCTTCAAAGATTTACCTTGTACTTGTAGTGGACTTTTGTCTCTTTCTTCTGATTCTCATGATTCATGTGATAATGGTTTTCATAAGAAAACGTGTAATAATAAAAATATCTGCCTGATTTGTTCAGAAAAGCTTACTAAAGATAATATTTCCAACGATACTTTTTTATCAAACAACTGTTCACAACAAGACAACAATATTCATTCAGGTATTCCGTACAATAAAACTCAATTCAATTTTATTTCAGCTGATAAAAATGAACACCATAATAACGTTACTGCTGATGGTCTCAATACAGAACAAATGGAACTCAATTTAAAGTACAGCCCTCGTACACCCTTTTCTGTATCCGAACAGAATGTCTTTAAGCCATTAACGGATTCTCCTGGTCGCTCTAGTACAGTTTCTCCCTCTCAAGATGTTCGTCGACGTAAAAGACTACCAAGCAGCTGGTCTACTATTAGTCGAACACTGATAAATAACGGTGATACGTCAGGTAATTTAGGATTTGTCATCACATTGTTTAATATCATTATTTTTGTTTTCTTGTGATTAACATTAAGACAATATGAAATTATATATATGTAATGAAGCACTTTTTTCTGTAATTACATATATCGTACATGGACATTAAAGTTTTAAATATTTGTTCGACAATCTAATTTTTCTTTGATTTTTAGTGTTAGCTTACATATAGATACACTTTTTGACGTCAGTGACTACCTCATATTAGTATTATTTCGCAATAAAACTAATTAACAAGGTTCTTACCAATCTTTTTTACTTGGACTTCATCCTTTCTTTTTTTGTCACCACGTTAACATAGAAAGCAGTCAATCCTTCATTATACCATAAATTTATTCTCATATTTTCTGTTTAAAATAATTCGCAATTTTTTACTTAAATCATTCTTACAGTATTCTCTTATCAGCGTTAATTGTGACCATAACTGAAAGCATCTGATAGCACTTGGACTCGAAATAGTAAAAATTGAATTCGTATCGGTTTAAAATGGTCGGTTCATAATAGATAGTATGCACAACATTCGGTTAACAAACATCAAATAAAAATGCCATGTACACACGTTTCTCGTTATCGAGTTTAGTATTGGTTAGTTAGACCCAACCAACATGAATATACAGTAGAAAGAGTTATGAACTGTTACATAGGAAAAATATCATCCCGTATTTCATAAGGAAATTCTATACATTGTGTAATACTTATATATTAGTTGTGCTATAAATTTTGTTTAACATTCAAAGTCACATTCACAAAGCTGTTGATTTGCTTACAGTCTAACTTTTATAACCATACCACATAATATGATTGAACTATCAAAATTGTGCATAATTTGTTTCATCAAGAGATTTTTGTCTTTGTTTTTTAAGCGAACATTACGCAATGTAACATTCGCCCTATCCGCAGACATCAAACTGAATTGAATCGGTATTTGTCCAATGGAAATAGCCCACAACACCCTTATATTTCATCTTTGACGACACCAACTATCATCCCAGGAAGCCAGTATGCTAGGACACGACAACATACTGCCAGTACATGTGAAAGCACAACACCTTATCATAAGGACTCAAGCAATTCACATAGTTCCCCTTGTTCTCCAACCACAAATAAACAGGGCAGTATCAAATCCCCACTAGTTTCCTTATCACCTTCTTTTACACCACTTTGGGCGGACGCACCTACTTATGCTAAACCTAAAACTGGGAAACACTATGTTTCCAGAGAGGTGATTCAGGCTCTTCGTATCGACCAACACCAACAATTTTCGTCTGTTTCAGATAATGTGAAAGGCTTTAGTAGCTGTTCTCAGATGAATTCGTCAGACAATGTATGTCATAATGAAAACCATTCAAGTGAATCTGGTAAGGAGTTTATTGTACTTATTTGTTTTAAGTCACCTTTGTCATTGTAGTTTGTCCTTCGACTATTGCAAATGTGTATACTAATTTGTAAAAATAAGTTTTTGTTGTATGTATAACAACACATTTATAGTGTTTATAATTTCATATCCGTACTTGAATTAAGCGAGTCCACTTGTCTGTATAGTTATTAGTATGGGTTCGTGGGTATCGTTAAGTTTTTTCGATTGCGATCATGAATCGATCGATGTTAGACTATCATTGAAAATCTGGAAGAATGGGACGGCCGTCTCTTCCTAGTATGGGACTCCTCAGCAGTGCGCACCGAGACAGAAGGTCCTGGGTCCGAATCTCGAAAGGGGAATTGTGGATGCGCACTGCCTAGGTGTCTGTATAGTGTTTGACTGTATTATCTTATTTAAAGTTATTTATTAAGTATGCAGGTATGTCTTCTAATAAATTCTCGTAGCATTTACCAAAAATATAGAAAGGTGACATTTCACCTCTGTATGTTGACAATGTAACTGTCATAGCGCATTATGATACTTTACAAAAACCATTGATTATCCGTAACTTATTCACTTTCAATTGACTAATTAGTACTAATAGCTAAATCATCTCACCCAATTACTAATGTCTCTATGTCTCACTATGCACCTGATTCTCAATGTACACCAAAATTATGCTAAATGGTGATAAAGTAGCAAAACAGTTCCATAATCGTTGTTTGGGATTTAGAGAAGGTTTATTAAAATTAGGATTTCCCATTATTATGAATGGAAATTGTTGAAGCTTTTAATTCTTCAAATATAACATATTAGTCAGAGATCAATCTTATTATTCACATGTTTATGTAAAGCGATTTTCATTCATTCGACTTTCAGTGCACTTTGATTGTGTTAATTAATTCATTGTGATTTTTTCATTCAAGTGATATTTGTCCAGTTTGACAAATTCTTTAACTAATAATCACTTAATGGAATCGATCTATAACTAAGTAAACTCGAATATGAATTAATCTTCTTTAGTCTCTACCAAATAAGTCTTCACGTCATTCTTTTACGAGTAGCCTCGGTTAGGAGAGAATGCAAATTTTGTAACCTGGTATCGAAGAGTTGTTAAGAGCTATCACTGTTATCAGAAACACAACATATAGACCTGGTGTTTCCTGTTGAGTTCTTTTTCAGGGATTTATCATTAGTCATTGTAAACTAAATCACGGGTTTCGTTATCGCACATTATCAAATAACGTTCTACAATTTTCTTTATAAGAGTTTTCAATCTGTAACTGTAAACTAGACAACAGTTTCACTAACTTAATATCTTACATTTTATTTTAGGTAGTACGTTAACATGCTTAACAGAAGCATTTGATGGGAATGCGACCTTTCAGTATAAACAGCAGTCGTCAAACGATCCTGCCCAATTTAAGACATCAGCTTTTTGTCCTGTAACAACAATGTGTCGGATTCTAATTTTTTGTTTCAAACTACATCTAATCGTGTTATGGCGTCTCAAAGTGATAAGTCATTAACAAATTCAGGGTAAGAACTATTTATGTCACAAGTACTTTCTTAAGTTAATCCGAAATTGTTTAGTAGGGTCTATGAATACATGCGTATCGTAATTATAGTCGATTTGGTAGATCTCTTGTTGAGTTTATTTGATTTCGATCTACTTTTAAATGGTAATGTATAATATTGAGTTTTCTCTAAATTCCACCCTCATCATACCTTTCTTATCGTATATGCGTGAATATCAAACATTCTCTATTTATCCATTCCTTTCCTTGTGATTCCCTCCTTTGTACAATTAAGTTTATTTCCTTGATGTTTTCCTTCAAAACTAGGTTTTCATACTTCAAGTTCTTTGAAAATCTCATCCATATACATTAATACATATCGACGAAATATAGCGTGACAGATCCTTACAACTGATATCCTTATTTTAGATATACCAGCTACTTTGTTAGACTCATGTACAAAGCAATCTTGTAATTTCCAACATCGGTTGATGTTTATTAAAAACGATAAGGGGTCTCACACGTAAACTTTCCGCCAATTATATGTTCTTATTTGTATCAGTTTCAACAGAACGTTTTATGAACATCTTCAAAATAGCTTTTTCAAATCATTAAAGGTATATGTGTCACTTTATATGGTCCGATGAATCCTATTCATGTACTAATTAACTGAAGCAGTGCACAGTCAGGACTGTTTGATATAAAAGCTAATGGTTTGTAAGTTCCGTAACCAGTGGAGCTAAACCGTGTCTGTTGTGAGGCAGCTACTCATCAAAGTCAATGGGAGATGGTCACGTAATGCCGTGGATTGACTGAGATTAGACATTAACACTGCTGAATGCCGGCTCAGCATTCTCGCACGAGACCGAAAGTCCTGGGTTCGAGTTCCGCATATGGATCTCGGATGGGATCTGTTGGAAAGTCTCTACCAGGACAAAACCGTCGTCCAGTGCTTCCAAGTTTTCAGTGGTGGTTCGTGATTTCAGTAGAATTGGACAAGCTCCAAAACCCCATACTGAAAAGACAAGTGGTAGTGTTTGTTCATGACTGTATACTCAACACAACTCTTGAATTAAAAATTTGCTTATCAATCAACAGGAATGCGTTATTAGTAATTCAGGCATTTGACGTTACTATAAAGATTTTCCCAACAACTATATTTGTATCCTCTACGATTTATTTGACTTGTATATCCTATAAGTCATTTATTGTCGTACTATGGAAAAAATGAACTCTAATGTAAATATTCAGATATAGGATTTAAATAGCTATTGCATCTCACCAATTTCTCACAGTTCATTTTCATACCAAAAGGTTTCATTCTCAACAAGTTGCTCAATTTCAATATCAAAATATAATCTGTACTCAACAGTTCGACTGTCTGTACCACTAATACATGGGATATATTTTATCATATAAGACTGGACAATATTCTGGGTGATCAAACTATGTAGAAAGTCTTTACTTCGGCTTAATTGAACTCTCTTCTGTTATTACCAATAAGAAGTAGTATCTACCATACTCAATTCTACAAATTTGCATTGTACAACTACTTTTATCACAAAATTAGTTTTCTTACGTACAAGCAAAGTAAGCTGTTAAACAAATGGGATAATCGACGAAACTATGATTTCTTGCATTTCCTAAACAATGTCTTCTGATTAAGGTGCAAAATTAAGTGTGCTTGTTACTTATTCCTTCCTTGTATCCAAGTGCTTTTTTATTTTGTACAGCAACCATTAACATATCGTGTTTATAAAAGATTTATCTAGTTACTGTTTACTGATCCTATATCTTTTGTGTCATAGACAGGATATTTGGCAGGTTGTTAAGATTCGATACAATATTGTACTCTGTTCTGCCCTCAGTTTAGGCACTTGTAAACAAGAAGTTTGTATGTGTTAATCATCTTCAATGCATTACATTTTGGATTTGGAAGCACGGCATCAGCGGCCTGCTTGAATATCTGGGCTACCTGTTTCTGCCATCTAATTATTTCAACGAGTTATCTGTTTCTTCATTTGTTTTAACTTAATTATGTCCATTAATCGCATAACCTATCCAGGCGCTTTTATGAAAAACCTACGACCTTTCGCTACACAAGTTGCAAAAAAGCACTATAAAAGACATCGTGGTGGTTGGCAATATGTGTTAAAGAGAATGAACATTTATCATATGTCGATTCCCGAGCTTCTAAATTCTAACTGCCGATCACTAATCAACAAAGTGGACTATCTGCAATTTCTACTAAGTCAAAATATGTATCGTAATTGTGGTGTCATCACAATTCAAGAATCTTGGTTAAATGATTTACAGGATGACTGCCTAGTATCACTACGTGATTTCAAAATTTATCGTCAGGATCGATCAAACAATAAAAAGAGGTGTGGTGGCGGTGTAGCTACGTTTGTAAACATAAACTGGTGTCGATCTTCGTTTGTGTGTTTTAAGTTTTCAAATGACTTTATCGACTGTCTAACTCTAAGATGTCGTCCAAAACATCTGAATAAATACAAATATGTTTATGTTACCAATATCTACGTGACTCCAGATTGCACATCATCTACGCTATCTGTTTTCGCTGATGAATTCACTGAGTTCGCTGTTACTGCCTTCAGTGATTCACTTTCAGTTGTATGTGGTGATTTCAATTCATGTGACTGTAGCTTCCTTACGTCACTAGGTCACCAAAATGTAGTAGATTTTCCTACCCGTTTGGATGCTCATTTAGACTTCGTTTTCATTAATGATGTGGGTATATATGCGACTCGTAAACGTGCTCCATTGTCTAGCTCAGATCACTGTATAATTCGTGTTCTACCTAAAGTATATGGAAAGCATGGGAAGAGTACACTCTTACATCAAACCAAGAAAGTCAAATATAGGAATTACTCAGAAGAAAATATCCGAAATCTGAAAAACATGTTTCATACGACTAACTGGGAATTATTTACAGATGACTCACTGGAAAACACTACTGATGTTATCACTTGTTACCTTAAATTCTGTTTTGATATTTGTTGTCCCACTGAAACCATTTTTGTAAGTTTTGATCGACTTACATCTTCACAACTAAAACGACTACGGAGGATGAAAGAAAGAATGTACAAGGAGAAGAACTCTAATGAAGTTCGTAAGCTAAATGGTCTGATAAACCTAGAGATTAGACGTCTCAACTGTATGTTTACTCAAAAACTCTTGTCTTGCAAAAACTCTCCAAGTATGTGGAAACTCTTTAAAGAACTTACAGGTGACAGACAGTTTAGAAGCGATAACCAGCTGAATGTTTGTGACTTAAATAAGTCTTTTGTACGTCAGTCATCTGATGTGATGCTCCCTCTATCCACGGGTTTAAAAATAGCTGTGTTCCTACTTTCACTGAAACTGATGTACGAAGATGTCTCCAGTCGCTTAATTCATCTCGATGTTTGGGACCTGATGGTATCCCAAACATCCTTTTTAAAAATGTGCTGACGTTCTATGTTATCCGTTCACAACTATCTTTAACAGATCCTTCTCATCTAATCTCATACCGAAAATGTGGAGAAAGATGAAGATAATTCCTGTACCCAAGAAAGCATCTGGTGATAAGAATGTAAAATTTAGACCTATTGCAATAACTTCACCCTTCCTCAAAACAATGGAAAAATTATTAATACTTCCACTTCAGCCTGCGATAAAAGAGCATATTGATCCATATCAGTTTGCTTACATATGCAAAAGAAGCACTTTAGATGCTGTTGCTGTTCTGCATCACAACATAGTGTTCAACTTAGAAAAGGGTAAGAAGTATGTTCGATGTGCTTTTCTGGACTATACTTCAGCTTTTGATTCTATACCAAGACAACGTTTACTTAACAAGTTAATCAGCGTCAACACTGACAGCTGGATAACCAACTGGCTATGTTCCTACCTCTCTGGAAGGGAACAGTACACTGTGTTTGGAGGAAAGTGTTCAGAGTCTCTACTGTCTCATGAAGGTGTACCACAAGGAGCTGTTCTTTCACCTCTTCTTTTCTCTTTTTTCTGCATGATCTGCCATCTTCCACAGAAAACACTTTTGTGAAATATGCGGATGATCTCACTGTATGTATGCCTATCTCTTCCTCTTTACATCCCATAGAAATGAATGAGTTTTTGTCTCGTATTGATTGTTGGTCTGTTGGTAATGGTCTCATACTTAATCCGTCTAAATGTCAAGCTGTTAACTTTAGCATGAGACATGAACGGAATCTAAACACCATTTTGAGATCCCATAATGCTTGTACCATCGGAGACTCTTTGATAAACACAGTGTCGAAGGTCAATTATCTTGGTGTCACCTTTTCCTCTGATCTCTCTTGGTCTTCCCACGTTTTATTGTTATCAAAGAAGGTTTTCCGTCTGACTTACTACATAAAGAGATTGCATGCTCTTGGGATTACTCGTCATTTACCCTTACAATTTGTCAATTCTTGCATATTACCTATTATTCTTTACTGTTCTCCATTATTCTTTCCGGGGCTTTTGAGAAAAGACTTTGTTGATTTGCGGAGAGTGCTGAAGGCAGTTAGCAAGATGTGTGGTGAATCTTTCGAGGTTATAATTAATATGGTTGTGGATAGACATCTAAAATCATGCAAACTCCTGGCAGGTGTTATTTTATCAGATACTAACCATCCCCTTCACTCTTATCTTTCTCCTTGTATATCTTCTGGTAGAACGAGACGTAATTACACTAAAATCCATGCACGCAAGGAAAAGTATAGAAGTTCTATAATACCTTATCTAGCAAATATACTGTGTGACGAACAGGTTGTTAGAGTTAACCTAGTCACTAACTTGCATTCTTAACTTGTCTCTAATTTTAAGTTGTACAGTTTTTCGGGTTTTTTCTTTTTTTCAAACCTTTTTTTTGTATTTGTCACTGTTTTTTTGCTTAAGTAACTTGTTGAAATACCCTGTGCTGAGAATTCTATATTGTGCCAAAATATAATATTAAATAAAGCCATTAATAATAATAATAATAATAATAATAATAATAATAATAATAATAATGAAAGTATTGTGTTTGACGTGGGATGATGTGCATGCGGCTAAAATAGCTAAAGTTGTGATCCATTTATCGATGACTAGTTGCTTTGACTTACTCCTGAAGAAAGTGGTACGAAATTATTTGTTTCAAAAGAGTCTAAGTCCTCACGTTATTTTGGCTCTGGTCTGTTGAAACATCTGATGGAGTTATGTTTGTGACGGATCAAGATACAGCTTAGCTCAACAATTTTATAAGAGGAACTATATTCACATGCACTGTTCTGACTTTGATGGTTGCTGACAGTGTAATTCGTCGTATGAAATCCGCATGATGTTGAAGATCTTCTTATGTACACTATAGGGTTGAAGGATGTTCCATGAAGTTCTCTATCTACGCCGTCAAATGCTTTCTCATGGTTAGGGAAGTTGATGTATAGTTGACGAGTTCCGCTCAACTGGTTTTTCAACAATGATCATTAGTGTCACAATTCGGTCTGTACACGACCGATCCTTACGGAATTAGAATGTTGATCTCAAAGTTGAGCGTCTACTGAATCCTTCATCCGGTTCAGCAACACTTGAAAACCTTTCCTGGTACTGACAATAGTGTAGTGCCTCTGCAGTCCTCACATTTACTCAGATCTCCTTTCTTTTGTATATTGATGACGTATCCTTTTTTCCAGTCTGTCGGCACTTGTTCCTCCTCCTAAATCTTCCTGAATAGAACGTGGAGCATCTTTACAGTTACTTCTATGTTTGACTTTAGGGCTTCAGCTGGTCGTGATCTTGATGCATTGCCACACTTGAATCGTCGGATGGTCATCTTGATTCCTTCTATTGTTTGTGTGGTGAAAGCTATCGGAATGTCTGCGTGTGGTGTTTCGACTTCCGTGGGTTTGGTGGAGCTGGTTTATTCAAGAGTTCTTCAAAGTGCTTTACCCATCCGTTCCAATGTTCTTGAATCTTGGTGATTGGCTTGTCTTTTTTTCGCGACCGTTCTTTTTGGTTTACTATATTTGCCAGCTGGCTCCTTCGTTGTTTCACATAGTTTTCTCATATTTCCCTCATTTGCAGCTTTTCCGCTGTTATTGCTAGATATTCTATACATTCCTGCCTATCGGCGCTAATCCCCCTCTTCACGCTTCTGACTGATTCTGTATATTCGGTCTGTACCTTGGCTTTCTCTGGTATTGTTCGGTTGTCGTCAATTGCTTTCTTCTTATCCTTTTCTTGATTCTTGTCCAGACTATCGATAGAAATCCATTCTTTATGATGGTGTTTGTTGTGGCTCAGCACCTCCTGACACGTTGAAGTTAGTGTTTCTTTGATCCCTTTCCAATTGTCCCCCATAGTAGTTTCTTCTTCTTCCAGTAAATCCTGTAAGGCTTGAAACCTGTTTTGAGAGAGCTATCTTGAATTCGTTGAGTTTGTCAGCATCGAAAGAAGGTTGTATTGAACCTTTGTAATGCCGTTTCTCCACTTGTTCAATGCTGCTTTAGCTTCAGTTTCATCTTGGCAACCATCAGGTGGTAATCCAAAGCTATGTTAGCTCCTCTCCTGGTTGTCACATATTCTATTGATCTTCTGAATTTTTTACTGATGCAAATATGGTCGATCTGATTCTCTGTAGTGTGATTCGATGAGACCTATGTATCTTTGTGTATACGTTTGTGTGGGAATATTGTGCCGCCTATAACCATTTTGTTGAATGCACATAGATTTGAAAATCTCTCACCGTTCTCGTTCCTTTTTCCCAGTCAGTCTATGTCGTCCCATGATATCTTCATATCCGGTGTTGTCCATTCCGACTTTGGCGTTTAGATCTCCTACCAAGATAATCAGGTTCTTTCTTGAGCACTTCACCATGATCGATTGTAACCTCTCATAAAACCGATCTTTATCGTCGTCATTGCTATCATTGGTGGGTACATAACACTGGATAACATTCACTGTAATCCCATCGTTCTTCGTTTTAAATGATGGTTTGGTATTCCTGGATCCATAAGATTCCCACCTTATAAGTGGTTTTCGTGCTTCTTTGGACAGCATCAGAGCAACTCCTTGAGTGTACGGAGAATTTTCCTCTAAGTGACCGGAGTATAGCAGCATCTCTCCCGTACCTAACTTATGCTATCCAGCTTGGGTTCAATGGATTTCACTATTTCTGAGCACCTTCAAGTTGTATGTCCTCATTCCCGTAGCTATTTGATTAGTCTTGCAGATCTCCCACATTGTCCAGACATTCCATTTACCTATATCAATTGTTTCTCTTGTTGTTAGGTTACTTCAAAAATAAGAGTTCAGATAAGTAATCACTTTGTTCTGCCAATGTTGGAAATGACAAATTACAAAAGTTTAAAGGTTTAGCAGAAGTTTCGGCGTTAATCCCGTACAAAAATTCATGAGTTGAAATGTCACATATTTAGGTTTTCTTCCTTGATGGTCAACAGTAGACTAATCGCGATGTCGACATTGAATATACGTATAAGTCTAGTTTCCTATCAACACTTGAATATCATAGGTGCACCCATCAGCATAATAAAAGCATAACTATTTGTTTATATTTAATACAATACTTTTTCGGAATATTTAATTTCGAATTTATAACAAATTTCACTCAGTGAAGCTATTTAACTGGTGTTCAATCGGCCAGAGGTTATCTAAACTATATATCAAATAGTAAATCCTTCACTAGATAATTACGAGAAAGCTATTAGGTAAGTAAACTGTTATATCACTATAAAAATGTCAAATATTAACACATTAAGACGTCCCAACAGTAATCATACATTGTGATAGTTGAGCTGTCTGTTTTATTTCCGAAATAACTTCTGGAGAAATTCAGTTATAGGAATTTTATAATTGATTATTTGCGTTAATGTTATTAACGCACCTTGTCAAAATGAACTTGAATTATATTGTTTAATTATCATATTGCTTAGTATAGAAACATTTTCTAACCGTATATCAAACTAATTTTAAATTTCACATTAGACCGTATATTAATATGTTCCCGAATAACCTTCATGTTGGGTTAAAACCGTTATCTGAAAAAAATCCATCGATCTTAACTTCATCTACTTCAACGCAATCTATTCACAGTTATAACGTTGGGAATAAACAACAAGACGTTGATCAAATAACCAACAATAATAGTAATACCTTCAAGTTACCAGTGGATACAGATATCGTCTTCAAAAATCCTAAACATTATGTGAATTTATTAGGTTTACAGAAAAGTGGATTCACGGTTTTAAATCACTCAAATGCAACAGTGTATTATATCAATTTTTCACCAAATAATTCAGAACGTAGATGTTTTGCAGACCCAACATCTGTACAATTATCAATGTAAGTCTTTGTTTTATCTTAGTGATTAAGTTTTAACGAATAATAACAGCAACAACTTATTATTCTGTTTAGTTGAAAATTAAAAAATAGATGATGAGTTTTCCAATGATAAATTTATAAGGGTTTAACTTTTAAAGAAATAGATATTGTCGAATCTTGGTTGATTATTAACACGGATGCGAATCCCTGTTAATTTCAATATAACTGATTAGTGTTTATATTAAACAAACATAATTTTATAATGCTGTTAGTCCAAATGTACAGTTCAAGTCAAAACTTTTGATTATCTTCACAAATGAGCGGCTTTAGAGAAAAAACTCAAATTATTTACTTTTGCTTCATTGCACTTTCTACCAAATATTCCTGTTCCAAGCCTTAATTATTCTATTAGTATTTCAGAAAATTGTATCAATATATGAATAATTTTTAATGAATTCATTCTTTAAATTACATAACCTAATCATTATATTTTGATCTTTATTTGTTATTTAGTTCTGATTCCTCTTTGGTGCCACGTGTCCCAGCCTCACTACCTATTCTTTCAGGTTCTTTTCTGGACAGACCACCGACTCCACCAAGGCTAACAACATCTACGTATAACGTTACTTCCAATGGTACTTCATCTATTCCGAAAACACCACAATTACATTACGCTCATCTTACACTATCTGACAAAGTAAATAGTTCAATGACAAATATGTGTAATTATAAAACATCGGATGATATAATGAATGATGGTAATATTAGTAAGAATAGACCCAGTCTTCACTCATCTAAATCTTTACAGTGTGCATTATCTTCTAGCCCAAATTGTTCTGAAACTGAGTTCCTGGATTGTAGCTGTAACCTAGTTGGCAATAACTGTCATGACTGTTCCTCACAAGGAGTAAATTATGTAACTATAGATATGAGACAGACCAAAGCACTTTCTGAATTAGAACAAGAATTGCGCATCAGTACTGGATTAGTTCGTAATGCTGGTTGTCATATACCATGGTCAGAATGTGCCCTTCATAATCAGAACTGTGATAATGTAAAAACTGGTAACAGATTCACAGTGCTACGCAGGCATTTTACAATTCCATGCAGCCTCCCCGGTTATTTCGCCAGAAAAAAAGATGACGTAAGTCTGTAATTTCCATTTGTTGAGGGACGAAATTTCGTCATAAGGTATCTTTATGGGATATTCTATGCCAATACTTTCTTGATTAAAATATATATTGCTGCAGGTGTTGTAGTATGTAATTTATTTTATTTATTTAAACACAGATATTGGTACAAGGGGGCACCAGACACATATGCGCCACACAAATCCCATTTGATTTATGTGAAGACTGTGATACTGCCCTGGTGCCCGAACCGAAACTGGTGGTTTTCTTAGGGGCCCACACCCGGAGCCTTTGACCTAAAGGTCTGATCTACAAGGCAGTGGAGCAACATCAGGAGATGCAGTCCCATGGTAGACGGTGACCAATAATTGGTTCATACGCCATTTGTTCCTTCAGGATACTGGAGTCCATGTGCACCACTGGTTTGGAATCAGCGTTTTCCAATTCCCCTAGATGGACTCTTCATTCCACCAACCCGGTTAAAGCGCCGGACATTCGCTTTTCGTCCTCTCAATTTCGTAAACAATACCCCCACCGCGAGAAGGCAGTGAGTGGGACTTCCCTGACAGAGGCTTTATACGTGTGGCCATATTAGGGCATTTCGAGAGGGAGAGCGGACTCTCCCCACTCTCAGCCGTACCAGGGCATTTGGGGTCTAGTCTCCAACTGATTAGAAAGAATAGGCGTAGCAAAACGTCAACAGCTCAGTGGGAATAAGTCTTTGGGATCCGTAAAAAAACAAATCTCGCACATCATGACCTAATTTTATGAAAAACAATTATAAATTATACCAATTAATTTGTAAAAATTATAATCCTTAAAAGCTATTATCTTGGATCTAAATATGCCTCCCAATTCAGTTACAAACACACTTAGAAAATTCTTCACAACACTGGTTCCTATTGTTCCTCTGTTTGCTGAAAATAAGTGTATGTATTTCTTATTATCACAAACTTTGTGTATCGTAAATTATAATGTGCATGTACTCACTAATCTTTCTGTTGAGTCTCTAAATTCAACCATCAGTGTTAAGCAGTTTATCCATTACGTTGAAAGTTATCATTCAAATAGGCTGAATATCAAGACAGCTTGAAATAATAATTGTATTACACTAATTTTTAATTATTTATGCATCATTGGCTATGATAATAATCATGGGATGTTATATTTCTCCTATAACAGAAATATATTCTGAACAAACGAGAAAAGTCTCTCATCTACCAGTCTCGTTTTAGATTTGGTACTATGACAATTGATTGACTGCTTGTGAATTCCATATTTTCATTGTTTGACTATTCTCAATGGCCACAGCTAGATGTGATTAACGAAAGGAAGGTTCATGTAAGGCATATCATCCAGTCTCCAGTCATTGATCTCAGTTATCATACGAACCCCTTCCCAACCAGATAGTCTGATACATACATAACAATATGATTTCTTTTCTTTCAGACGGTTCATGCATTAACAAGCTCTCCAACAAATTCACAAGGAAAGAAACAAAATCATGAAAATATCGTTTCCGTGACCAATCGAGTTCTAAAGCGTTTAATCCATTCCTCTCACCTCCCACATCACCAAAATTAACATTGTGGCAAAATTGCCTAAAGCCAAATCAGTTGCTTCTATTTTTTGTATTTATCCCTAATAAGTGCATCGAATGTTAAAATCGAAGTGATAACATCTTATCCTTTATTCATTTAAAGAATAATACTAAATAACATCTGCTTAACACAAAGATCCATTTAATATACATAATAAACTATTTAACTTGACCAACGTGTGCACCACTAATTAATGTTGCAAAAATATGCTATTTTTGTATTACTTTATATATATATATATATATATATATATATATATATATATATATATATATATATATATATTTCCTTATCGATCCTTTTTAGATTCAAGTTATTTTTGTTCTCTTTTGTGCATTCTTTCCTATACACATTGCCGTTAAACGATTTCATTCATTTTTTCAAAGTATCAGTTGTGGCTTTATTTATCGTTTCGATTGGTTGAGTATGTGTTAAGCACAATCAGGCTATTTAGTCAAGTTAAAACTCAATTAATTTACTGTTTCAGAGTAGGGAGTCACACAATTAATGAACTGCTATTCAGATTTTGTATTTGACGGTTCGATTAACTCGAATTGAAATCAGTTTAAGACTTAGCACATTTTTTATTAATGTAACTACTGACTATTAAAGTCTGACGCTATTTGAGTACCCAGAAAAAAATCCATTCTCCTGTTATAACACGAAGGCGTTCATATATTTTTTTCAAATGTAACTAATTTGAAAAATGTCTGTGCAATTTAATATTTAACTGATCGTACTGGTATGCAATCTATAGATCATGAAATCTATATCTGAAATGAATGATAGTGATACATAAATCATCTTTTTCTTAGGTCCTTGCTTTGTGTGTATAAATGGTTAGTCTGATGTCACTGACTAACGTAATTAAATTTTCGTACTAAAATTAACAATCAGGGAAAAAATAACATATTTAGCTGATTTGTTGGTTACTCTTTTTTAGTACACACATAAACCTAAGTTTCTGTTCCAACAGGAATGTCACAAAAAGTTGACAAGCTACTAAAAACTGAACACTTTTGAAACTTGACTACGCATCGATGAATCACCTCGTAATCGAAATCATAAATCTCCAGTTTATAATTGAAACAACACTGACTCACACTTCGAATTTAGGAGTTGAGCATTCATAGGAACCCGAATAAAATAAGCCATTTGCTGTTATGAATTGAATTTGAGTTCGGTATTTTCTGATTACGTACGATTGGGGGATCCTATTACGAAATGGGATCTGGATAGACCGGATTACTAATACATATAAAAATTCATCAACAATCCTTCTTGCGGTTGAAATTGAGAGAATATAAGTTTTTGAAGGAAGACATTTTATTAAAAACCCCAGAAGAAGTAATTTGCACTCAATTTTATTCAAGTATAAATCGACTATTCAATGATGATTGATCACATGTTTTATGAAACTGAGCATTTGTCACTCGACACAAAATCACACGGAATTAATCATTACGAGGGAAAAAGTAAATAACTGAGTATTGAATAATCGGTACAAGTGAAAACACACTCAAAGCCAGTGAATAGAATTTAGTAGGAACAAATTAATACAACGAAAAACGTAGAAAGGTGACTGGATGAAAATCACCTTAAATTGCTAAGTGACATGTGTCCAATAATTGCTGACGATTTTTATTTCTTTCATCCTTTAATTGAATTTGAAGACGCCATTTTCTTGTTATTCCAAAGCTCTTTCAGTTTAATAGATTTTTGCTTTCTTTTACAAGGTCATTGTACATGCATTTAACTGCATGTGTTAGACGCTTAAATTGATTTTCTTTGATCTTTACTAACGAATCTTCTATGCACGATTTGTCTCTTAGAGTGACAGATCAATAAAGAAAAGGACTTTGTATCCAGATATCTAAGCGAGGATTGAAGTCATTGATGTTAGTTTGAAATAAATAAAACCTATACAATAGCTTTTTACTCAACGAGTCACAGAACTTTGCAAATTTTGAACGGAAATCTGCTCATAGTGAGTATTGGTTAGTTTTTGATGTATGAACTTGGAGTATATTAATGAACCATGTTATAGTTAGTTCGTACTTTAGAAAGTCAACAGTCTAGAGATCATTACTTTTGAAATAAAATGCGGATGAACAGCTTGGAGCTAGTTGCTAGACAGAATTAAGTAGTTAAAGCTCCAGTTCTAGACTCGGACTAGTATTTAGACTGCGTAATTTTAAATTGGTTAGGAAGAATATCATATTAAAATTTACCAGACGTTATTAATTATTAATCCAAAGTTTAGATATTTCTAAGCCTCCCAGTATATTGGAAATTAGGATGCTGATATATAATGCAATAATGACAAACATTAAATTTAATAGATGGAATTCACCAACCCAACTTCAAATAAGGTCGAATTTTATTCATAAAATAATACGTCCAATTGCATTGTATGTTTCATTGCTTCAAGAAACCATAGGTTTAAGATAAAACTCTGTTTCATTTGGATACAAAGCATTGCAGAATATCAGTAGAATATACAAAAATATTTTTAAGCGATACAGTGCGATAAGTAAATGAATATATCAAATCATATTGCTCACAGAAAATAAATTAAATGAATTCATGTAACGGTATGACTAATATTTTGTGCAGTCATTTATGTATTCATCCAATGTGAAAACCAATCAATTTTTGTTGTCCATGCACCAGAATAGGCTTCATTAAATTTATGATGAAAATAGGCAAGTGCTTCTTGTTCATTATCAATTTCGACAGCTAAAGTCTTTCTTACATGTTCCAAATCACACACTGAAGTTAGTTCGGGTAATCCAGAAGGTAACATCATAGCTAATAATGTTAATATGAGATTTGAATGTTTGCGTAACAGAAGGTAAGCTTTACCACATAAGTCAGTGAATTCTTGAAAATACGTATTACCATATATTCCTCCGATAGTATTATGGATGACTGATGGTGGAGTATTAGTTGTGGTTGATATTGTACCAGCATCAGGATTACCACGTGCAATTACTGTAATAAAATCTTTTGTCAAAACAAATGGTACACGTTCACGAGTAAAACCAAACTTCTTCTTACGATTATCTAAAATGTGCCCAAAATCAATATGAAACAATCGCCCAGTTGAATCAACCATTATATTATCTGGATGTCTATCACGAATTCCTAAAATAAATGTAGCAACACAATAACCAGCACATGACATAGTAAATGTACGTATCATTCGTTCATATGCAGAATTATCACCTAATGGTGAATGATTTAACTGTCTTGCCTTTTGTTTAGCATGTTGCATTAACCATTTATATAACTGTGATGAATCAATTTGTAAAGCAGAACGTAAACGTTCACCTTGTATAGACATTACAGTACGTGAATCACGTACTGCTTCAATAATTCCCATTTCATATCCTGTTGCAAAACAACCATATGATGTTAAGCACATATCCATACCTTCTTCTTTCCATATACGGTCCATTAACTACAAAATAAATATAAAACCGCAATTACATGCATATTTTTTACTGAATAAATAAATGATGTTAATTTACGTATTAGTTGGTGGTTGATGGGTTAATAACCTTATTGATCATAAGGATTAACTGAATCTCATTTGATGTAGTCAGAATTCAAGTAGGCGTAAAAGCAATATAAAAGACTAAACTGGTGTACGTGAAAAACTGTTCGTAAAATAATCATTACCATTACTTGTAATCGTCCGAAATTAAATATGGCATGAATTGTTAAGTCTTAGGTGTTTTATGACATTATTACGTCTGCCCTGTGCAATCTAATTATCAATAGCTCTTCAGTTGACCTCAGTTCGTAATGACATTACTCTTAAACCATAACGAATTTACCAGTATGTTTGACAATTTTATCTAAACGATATCATACCCAAGTTCATACGAATAACTAAAATCGGTTGGTCTAATTGTATAAAGAATCTGGTTACTAATATTTTTAATCATTTTCTGTGTCTCAGATTAAGTTATGACATTGTTTATGTATTACAAGAAACATGTATTGTATGTAACAATTCTTATCACATATCTATGCAACCTATTTTTGTCTGACCGGTAAATAAGTCATTATAGTCCGATTAGGTATTTCATAACATTGTATGCAAGTACATTTCCTTATAATTATGATCGTAAGCCTATTTTTGTGGAATATCATTAGACGCACGGCGACCCTTATACTTCTTCATTCCGTTTTGTCCAATTAATTATTAGTTCTAAATTGGTAATAATTAGTTACTTAGTTCTTAAAATTCATATAAAATGTAAGTATTTATTTATTATTAATGGCTTGTCTGTAGAGCAACTTTTCAAATTAAGGACGTTAATAACGTACAAAGTGCAAGCTCTATCGTTTCTCATGTTGTCACAGACACAGATAACGCATTCTTGAGTGTATTGCTTCTGGTAGCGTTCCAATCACTTGAAGCGTTAAAGAGCGCCATCAGAACTTATGAAATGGCGACGTACTGCCATTATGCACTGCGTGATTCTCATTTCCATAAGGATCAAAAGCCGTACATTAAATATGTTTGTTTGAGAAATGGCCGTAGAAAACCTAGCGGATCCTCACAGCCGATTGGACGAAGGAGATCATTTGAATACTGTTACTATATTGTTCATGAAGGACTGCTATGAGCACTCAGTGTCGAGCCATCATTTATTGTAAGTTTATTGAAGGTTACTGAACTGTTGTTCGCGGGAATGTGCATAACAATCATGAGTGTAATTCCCTGAGGTGTGACAACAATTCTTGGATGCGCACGTTAACGGACGTGGAATTTGAAACAAACTGTGATATATGCAATCTTTCTTAGCCACCAAGTGAAACTGGTGATAGAATCACTTGGAATTTTAGTCGTTGCAATAGTGTTTCATTCGTTTTGTGCCTGGGACCCACAATTACAGGGATCTCGTTGTCCCACTTGCTATGCGAAAACAGAATTGTTCAGGACAATCGAAATGTTAAGAGACCGAATGAAGGTCCTTTTGGAGCCACGCACAATTTATTTTAAATTCTATTTTTTTAATTCGTGACAAATTACATCAAAAAAATTTTGTTGATCTCATTCCATATACCTTCTTCGTTATTTTTAAACGATAGTTCTGCGTCTGGTATGAATTTTCAGTGAAGTAGTTTCATTTGATTCATTTCGCATTATTTCGGTTAGAAATTCACTAGCCAGTGTTTTCTTCAAGCACGAAAACGTAAAAAAAAAACTTACATCCTTACAATAACCAGATGTTTATTATCTGCGCTAAGGCTCATTTGTATTAGTATTCTTAGATAACCAATATATATTATCTTAGCGTATGGCTTCATATTAATTGTGAATTAAATGAACTAATCATTATATTATTTATCAGTGTCTGTGAACTCATTTCCTACATAAAACAATTCAGTCACTACTGTTAAATAAGTTTTTTGACATTTAAGTATTTCACTTGTTGAAATCATGAGTCAATTGAAGCTAGACCACTATGGAAAACCTGGAAGCACTGAACGGCCGTTTCGTCCTAGTATGGGACTCCTCAGAAGTGCGCACCCACGATCCGCCCCCCCAGCGGGACTCAGACCCAGGACCTATCAGTCTCACGCCAGGCGCTTAACCAACTAGACCACTGAGCCGGCATCCAATGGTGTTAATGTCTAACTTCAACCAATCCACGAAGTTGCGCCACCGTACACAATTGTCTTCAGTGAGTTTCCATCTCACAACAGACCTGGATGAATTCCACTGGTAACGACTGATAACGGCCGTCCAGTGCTCCCAGGTTTTCCATAGTGGTCTAGCTTCAATTGACTCATGATTTCAACAAGTGGAATTTCTAAAAATCTCCACAAAACCCATTCTGATAATAGTTTAAGTATTTACTAAAATTAGTAGGAACAACGTTGATTTACTGTACTATAAGTTGGAAATTAGATACTAAGATTAGTTCACTGATAAAACAACATTATGTCTATGGTAAAGGTCAACTGAAATAACACTAAATTATAATCAAGCCATAGTGATTAAGCTATATAATCATTTGAAATTAATAATGATAATGTGATTATCGCTCACACACTGAATCGTCTAACAATAGTACATGCAAAATTAAATAAGAAATTAGACATTAACATCGTTGGATGCCGGCTCAGTGGTCTAATGGTTAAGTGCTCGCGCGCGAAGCCAGTAGGTCCTGGGTTCGAGCCCCGCGTGGTGCGGGATCGTGGATGCGCACTGCTGAGGAGTCCCATACTAGGGCGAAAAGGCCGTCTAGTGCTTCCAGGTTTTCAATGGTGGTCTAGCTTCAACTGACTCATGATTTCAATCTGTGAAAATTCCTAAAAATCTCCACAAACCCCTTCTAATAATAATTCAATGTTTTTTTTACATTGTTCAGCTAGACACATGTAGGCTTTTATTTATTACATCGAAATTAAACATTGCTAAATGTCAATTGATATAGTTGACCTTATTCATATTTAGCAGTATAATCGACGTAAAAATTGTTTATGTCAAACGTAGGCCTGTCAATTTGCGCATAATATGACGAATATTTCAATTACCTGTCGAAAATAGTTATTTTTGTAACGTTAAACTGTTTAAGGTTTAATATTAACCTATTCAAATATTACGAGTATGTACATAGAATTTGTAAGTGTCCTTGTAATATATTTAACAAATAAAACCGATGATTTGAAAAATGATTCCAGACGTATGCGATGTCATTTATAAATGACATCAGAAAATTAAGATAATGATTTGATCAAACTGCATACTTACAAAACATTTGCTATTGACATTACTTGAAAAAAACCTACTGCACACTTACCAAACACAATAACTGAATACATGGAGAAGTTTATTTATCTTAATTATAAACGGCTCAACTACATAGAATGGACAATCCATAGTAAGAAACAATTTTTAATTGTGCAAAATAACGTAATTACAATCTTGCGTTTATTAAAGATACCCTTATCAAAGGGAAACTCGTAGCAAGCCCATTCAACAAAATGATAGAGTTGGTTATCATACGTCCCTCCGATAGTCTATGGGCATCACCGCTCCATATGGTACCCAAGAAAAACTCTTCCGAAGTTAGACCTTGCGGTGACTATAGAGCTCTCAACAGCCGGACTATTCGAGCAGATATAACCAACTACGTGCAACAATTAAAACAGCAGATGGAATACATTAGGTCCGTTGAACCACGAACACAAAAGTTAAGGTCGTTCGTACCCAATGAACTGGACAAATGCTCACATGTATTCGTCAAAAATGATAGAGTACGACATCCGTTACAGACTCCTTATGACGGTCCTTTTAAAATCATCCGAAAGGACAGTAAAACGGTTACAATGGAAAGAGCAGGTGCACAGAGTAAAATCAGCGTTTTTAGAGAACACTGAAAAAGAGGCAACTGTAAAACTGTCTAAACCCACAGCAGAGCAAGCACCATACAAACTACCTGCAACAAACAATACTTCACATCAAAGTTCAGTAGCAGCAGAAACTACAACAAGATCAGGAAGAAGAGTACATTGGCCAAATAGGTATGTAGCAATCATCATATTTATCTAGACCAAGTCCTGAGATTGCTCGCATAACACAAAAATCAAACTTTATTTTCATTACTATTTTTTATTGGCCCCACGGATCATCATTATGCTTACATTTTAACTTTATGCAATTCGTTGATGTTAAATATACATTTATATATACATGATATAAAACGTTTCAACACAGAAGCTGTTATTACAACTTAACGCTTACTCATCATATCGAGTTGTACATTTATTTTAAAAACAATTTCGTTTTTTATCTCTTTGTCAAACATAGGTGTTAGTAAAAATATTTTTTTTGTAAATAAAAACATCAATGTTCTGGATGGGAGCTTATGTAGCAAGCCCATTCAACTATTGTATTATTTTTATCAGAATGGGTTTTGTGGACATTTTTAGAAATCTCACTGGTTGAGATCATGAGTCAATTAAAGCTAGACCACCATGGAAAACCTGGAAGCACTGGACGGCCGTTTCGTATTATTTGTCTACTCACTGTACTTCAGACACTTAATTCACTATGTTAATTTCTGCGTGTGTATGATTGAACGCGTGTCTGCACATCAATCCTTAATCTATTCTCCCATTGATTGTAACACACAAATAATCAATAATTTATCCACACTTGATTATGACTCATAATTATATATGGATTTTCAACTCATAAACACACGATCTTGGTTTTACAGTGTGCTTGCTCGTTGTACGCTTGCGGATCTTATTTATCTTTAACAATAAAATATTTCTACAACTGGTGTTCAGGCTTCTGAATAGTCTTGAGTAAATCCATAATTCTACTAGGAGATTTAGCCTGCCTTAAATACTCAGTTAATGGGATATCATTTATTGAAGTCAGATATGGGGGAAACTAGCCTCTACAAACTAAACAACTCTTTTGTATTAAGAATTACTATTGGCAAAATCACCCAATCATAAATATTATTTGTTTCTTTCTAAGAAGGAACGGTTGACAATTATTGAACGGCGGTTTTGATTCCCTGCCCCCCGTTTATGAGAAATTTCAGGGTGATTAAAAAACTGAGTCACTCTTAATTCAATGAGACTGGTTAAAAGTCAGTTCCAATATTCACACACTACACGCTCATTTATGGATGCTCGAAATAAAGGTATCTTCCATACACTTTGTATTTAGGCTTTCAGGATTCAGACAATGGATACATCTGAAATGCAAGTGTTGGATATATATGTTAACTGGGATTAAAAAAGGGTTACGAAAATGGTGAACCAAGGTACGAACTGAACTCAACATACGGGAAAACCGCTTACTACAAAAAGTAGGTACGATAAACTATGTATACGTAAAATGAAGGGAAACATACCTTGAGTAACTGAAGTGTCAGCATATCTTGACGGAGATCATCACCATGTTTAAAAATCAGTTGATAGTTTTGATGATGAAATTGTGCCAGTCTATCAGGATTTGTCCATACAAGCCATAAGGGTCTTTTTTTAGATCGCTTAACATCACATTTATGAATTAATAATTCACCTAAGATTTCACTTAAACATAACGGAGATGGTAACCATTGAAGATCATGTTGGGTTTCTGTTCGAGACATCTCTTCACGGAATAGTTCACGTTGTTCATCCTCGCTAGTTAATTCTTTTAAACGTGCACTTAACGCTTCTAAACGATTGAGAGCGGTTACCTGACGAGAAAGTAATACTAACATTGGTCCACAACCTCGACAAAATGCTTCTAATATTAGACTGAATCGAAGGCGTATATCTGGCAAATGAAGTTCAGAACGTAAATGCCAAAACAATCGTAAACCAATTTGCAGAGGATTTTTTAAAGCACGATATAAGATAAAACGAGTTAATGCATTGTCCAAATAGGTTTCAGCTTTAAGAGCCTAAATAATAAATAAAAGGATATATATATATATATGCCTCACACAAAATAAGTATTTACTAAAATCGTAAAAAGCAATATAAACTAAGATTGGAATATTAAATAATGGTAAGGCAACAACGTGTTTTTATCCTGCACTGAAGAACTTTAAGTTTATTTCCAAATAAGCTCACATCATGAAGAAGTATAAATCCAACTATGCTCTAAAAATTGCAGTACTTTCTGATTTCCAGCATGTATTTCTTTCCGTATTTTCGATGAGCACTGGAAATATATACCATTTTTAGTTATATGAAAAATATCAAGCTATATTTCCCCTTCATAATACTAATAATAGGTTTCAGATACAATAGCAACAAATAAATATCACAACCACCATTTGTAACAATTGACAAACATTACAACGTTATCCTTCATTTCAAAAAGCTGAATTATTAAACTACCACTATTTTGTTAGATATCCTGAGTCAGCAAAAATTTAAATATTATAAGATGAGTGTAGACAAGATATACGCAAGCTAAGAAAGTGTTGCTAGCTGCCCTTAAACATCAACACAAACACAAGCTGGTAGATTACTAAGTTATACATTTTTTCTCATTGAATGGGATCATTCCAATTGACATTGGGATTAATAAAGTTTGTACAATACGACTCTCAAAAACTAGTTGTGTGACAACTTGAGCCTATGAGTATATGTGCCAGATTCTGAGTTAATTATGATGGAAAAACTAACTGGATACTGATTATTTGGACGATCTTCTGATTCTATACACTTGGCTTGTAAGTGCAAGTCTCAAACTAACACCAAAATATCATCGGGGACGCAATAGTCAATTGCTTAACTTGAATTTTTAGCTTGATAGTGTATAACCGACTGTTGATGTGAATATACTAAAGTAGTAGATCTTCAAACTGTAAGGTTAGTGGAATACTGACACTACTGATTCCGGATGTTGAATCTACAGAACAGTCGAGGGATTTTATGAAAATTGTATACTGAAAAATAAAATACGAATTCCAGGATATAACAAATCAAAAGTTGAGTTTTCCACTGTTTTTGGAGAAAATTCCTAATACATAGAAGAGCTTAAAAATCCACATAGTTTTATGATGCAATATACAGGCTCCACATCAAAAGTGGAACTTCGCCTGGAGTCCCTCTGGGGGCTGCTGCCGGCCCCAAGCTCGGATAAAGGAGGAGGGTTGGGCATGGGGTTAGCAACCCCATCCCGTAGAAAACTAACTCGCTAAAAAAACGCTAACCAGAAAAAATTATTCAAACCCTTTAAACTCTGCCCTCAGAGTCAGAAGATCTTCATTTAGAAGAATTATGACGCCTCACGATGAAAGCCGAATTCCTTCGGAAGTTACGAGGCCGATGCCCCTTCTGACAAGCAGAGCGACCATTTATTTAGGTACATGTAATGTTCGTACAATGTGGGACAGCGGGGGAGCCTTCCAAATCGCTGCAAAAATGAGGAGTTACAACTTAGAGGTGCTTGGGATCAGTGAAACACACTGAACGCAAGTTGGACAACAACCACTAACTTCAGGAGAGCTTCTGTTATACTCCGGCCATGAAGAAGAAAATGCTCCACATACACAAGGAGTTGCATTGATGTTGTCAAAACAAGCACAAAATGCACTTATAGGATGGGAATCTCATGAACCAAGGATCATCAAAGCCTCCTTCAAAACAAAGAAAGAAGGCATTTCAATGAACATCATCCAATGCTATGCTCCTACCAACGACTACAATGAAGACGCTAAAGATCAATTCTACGATGGGAGATTTCAATACCAAGGTTGGAGTGGACAACACTGGATATGAAGACATCATGGGACGACACGGACTGGGAGAAAGAAACGAAAATTATGAGAGATTTGCAAACCTATGTGCCTTCAATAAACTGGTCATAGGCGGCACCATATTCCCACATAAACGCATTCACAAAACCACATGGACTTCACCGGATCACACTACGCAAAACCAAATCGACCATATCTGCATCAACAAAACGTTCAGGAGGACGATGGAGGACGTGAGAACCAAGAGAGGAGCTGATATAGCATCAGATCATCACTTGCTGGTCGCCAAGATGAAATTGAAACTCAAGAAGCACTGGACAATGGGGCGGACAATATCACAAAAGTTCAATACGGCCTTTCTTCAGGATACTAACAAACTCAACAAATTCAAGATAGTCCTCAGCAACAAGTTCCAGGCCTTTCATGATCTACTCAATGGAGAAGGAACTACTGTGGAGAGCAACTGGAAGGGGATCAAAGAGGCAATCACTTCAACATGTCATGAGGTCCTGGGTCACAAGAAGCACCATCACAAGGAATGGATCACTGTTGATACACTGGATAAGATTCAAGAAAGGAGGAACAAGAAGGCAGCAATCAATACCAGTCGAACAAGAGCAGAAAAAGCCAAGGCACAAGCTGAATACACAGAAGTAAACAAACAAGTGAAGAGGAGCATCAGAACCGACAAACGTAAATATGTGGAAGATTTAGCAACGACGGCGGAAAAGGCTGCAAGAGAAGGAAACATGAGACAACTGTATGACACGACAAAGAAACTCTCTGGAAATCGCCGCAAACCAGAACGACCAGTGAAAAGCAAGGAAGGCGAGGTAATCACCAACATTGAAGAGCAACAAAACAGGTGGGTAGAACACTTCAAAGAACTCTTGAATCGACCAGCCCCACTGAACCCACCCAACATCGAAGCAGCACCCACGGACCTCCCAATCAATGTTGGCCCACCAACAATTGAAGAAATCAGCATGGCCATCAGACAAATCAAGAGTGGCAAAGCAGCAGGACCAGACAACATTCCAGCAGAGGCACTAAAAGCAGACGTAGCGGCAACTGCAAGGATACTCCACATTCTCTTCAATAAGATTTGGGATGAGGAACAAGTACCAACAGACTGGAAAGAAGGACTTCTGGTCAAAATACCGAAGAAAGGCGATCTCAGCAACTGTGATAACTACAGGGGCATCACTCTTCTCTCAATACCGGGAAAAGTCTTCAACAGGGTATTGTTAAACAGGATGAAGGACTGCGTAGACGCCCAACTTCGTGACCAACAGGCAGGATTCCGTAAGGATAGATCGTGTACAGACCAAATCGCAACTCTACGGATCATTGTGGAACAATCAATTGAATGGAATTCATCACTCTACATCAACTTCATTGACTACGAAAAGGCATTTGATAGCGTGGACAGAACAACACTATGGAAACTTCTTCGACACTACGGCGTGCCTCAGAAGATAGTCAATATCATACAGAACTCATATGATGGATTAAACTGCAAAATCGTGCATGGAGGACAGTTGACAAAGTCGTTCGAAGTGAAGACCGGTGTCAGGCAAGGTTGCTTACTCTCACCCTTTCTCTTTCTCCTGGTGATCGACTGGATCATGAAGACGTCAACATCTGAAGGGAAGCACGGGATACAATGGACATCTAGGATGCAGTTGGACGATCTAGACTTCGCAGATGATCTGGCCCTTCTATCCCAAACGCAACAACAAATGCAGGAGAAGACGACCAGTGTGGCAGCAGCCTCAGCAGCAGTAGGTCTCAATATACACAAAGGGAAAAGCAGGATTCTCCGATACAACACAGAATGCACCAATCCAATCACAATTGACGGAGAAGATTTGGAAGATGTAAAAACCTTTATATATTTGGGCAGCATCATTGATGAACAGGGTGGATCTGATGCAGATGTGAAGGCGCGGATCGGCAAAGCAAGAGCAGCATATTTACAACTGAGGAACATCTGGAACTCAAAGCAACTGTCAACCAACACCAAGGTCAGGATTTTCAATACAAATGTCAAGACAGTTCTACTGTATGGGGCAGAAACCTGGAGAACTACGAAAGCCATCATCCAGAAAATACAGGTGTTTATTAACAGTTGTCTACGCAAAATACTTCAGATCCATTGGCCGGACACTATTAGCAACAACGTACTGTGGGAGAGAACAAACCAGATCCCAGCGGAGGAAGAAATCAGGAAGAAGCGCTGGAAGTGGATAGGACACACATTGAGGAAAGCACCCAACTGCGTCACAAGACAAGCCCTCACATGGAATCCTGAAGGCCAAAGGAAAAGAGGAAGACCAAAGAACACATTACGCCGGGAAATGGAAATAGACATGAGAAAAATGAACAAGAATTGGATGGAACTAGAAAAGAAGGCCCAGGACAGAGTGGGTTGGAGAATGCTGGTCGGCGGCCTATGCTCCATTAGGAGTAACAGGCGAAAGTAAGTAAGTAAGTAAGTACATCAAAAGTAAACTATTGTTAGATTATTAAAAAATGGTATATATGATTGAAAATTTTTGGACGTCCTACGTCTGAAACCAAAAAAAAAGTTGTAGAAATGTGAATGTTTCCAAGCATTTTAGGATCAATGACGTAGTTAAAAATTTATATGACTCAGTTTCGTACAGATGAATCAAACTTTTACCATTAGAATTTTTAAAAACAAGTTTGTTCACAATGTACAGTCACGAAACACCTTTTGTTATTTTCGGTATAAGATTGTGGAGATCACTGAATTTCATTGAAATAATGAACCGATCCAACCTAGATTACCATTGCAAACCTGGAAATACTGGATGGCCGTCTCGTCCTAGTATGACACTCCACACCAGTCCCCATCCATGATCCCGCATGTGGTACTCAAACCCAGGATCTCCAGTCTCTTGTGCGAACACTTAACCATCTCCAGACCACTGAGTCGGCACTCAACAGTGTTAATGCTTAACCTTGGTCAATCCACGACATTACGCGACCATCTTTCATTGCCTATGGTAGGTAACTGCCTCACATCCGATACGGATTAACTCCACTGGTCATAGCTTTTCACCAGAACTCCGCAAATTTCCTCTTGAAGTTAGTCACTAGTGAGCACATGATAATTATCAGTATGAAGTTTTGGAGATTGGTGAATTTCATTCAAAAACAATGCCGTCAAGGAATGAAATATAATTTACTGATTGTTGATTGATACTTTACCAGGAATGAATTTAGCTTTTGTTATGTTAAACATTATGAGCAACCTTGTAGTTAGTAACAGCATAGGGACCTAACTATTGAATGCTCTGATCTGGCTCAAAAGGCCATACGCTGATTAATCTATTTTCAATCAATTGACGCTAGTGAACTAGTATAGATGCCAGAAGATTCTCATGTAAACTCTAGTGGTTTTACTAATGGATCTTTGTTGTTTGGGTTGTTGAAAATATGAAATATTCGATTTCAGTTCTCGATCTGATTTGAGAAACGTCGAGTGAAGTATGACATCCATAGAATGCTAAACAGTAAAAGAACATAGCAACAATGATCATAGAACAAACAGATAATCTGTATCTTACCTGAACCAGTTGTAACAGATAATCACTCAATTCAGCATCACTAAGATTATACAAACTATTTACAGCTAATTCGCGTATATATAAATCAGCTATTCCACTTGCTCCAACTTTTATTCCATTGGGTAAATCAATAAGATTTGAATTACTTCGTGTTAAATCGAATGCACCAAGTAAACGTAAAGCTATGTCAACACTAAATGGTTGTGGCCACTGATGTATAAGAGTGTAGAATTCTGCTAATGTATCACGACCACACCAATTAACAATTTGACATATCCATGGTAATGCTGAAGGTAAATTATTTAAACACCAATAACGACCACGCCATAAATAATCTTTTTCTTGTTCACATAATTCATATAATGGATCACGATTAACTATTTCACGTAATCTTGATTCTAATATTTTATTAGTTAAATTTGTTACTGATGAAGTAATAGTGTTATTCTGAAAAGATTTATTAGAAACAAATTCTAATGGTTTATCTCCTTTATAAGTATTATTATGAATCGTTGTTAAATTATTATTTGACTCTATGCATAGACAAGCATCCACATCACCTATTTCACTTGTGCAAAATGAATAATCCACTTTTGCACTCTTAGCATGATCATCATTCCGTGATTTTAATGAATGACTATCTGAATAGGATTGGGATGAAGAGGAATGAAATTTTTTTGTATGATATGCATTGATAAAACAATTCACTGTTGGTCGACGAATACGACCTTGAGTTGGGTTATGAATTTTGATCTGCAAAAAAGGAGAGTAAAGTAAAGAAAAGTGAATAGTAAGCTTATTTACAATAACCACAACTTGATGTGTTTTGAGAAATATCATAGAAGCCTGTATTACGAATCAGTGTCAATGGAAGAAACACAAGTGATTGAGTTGACGCAACCATATAATGTTGGAGAAAAAAATATTTCCTTTAGTGAACTGGTGGTAACTGCTGTTTAATAATGAATTGTACTCGTTGCTGAGTTTTCCAAACCTTTTCTATACCATCTACTAGCGAGTAAATTTGATGTTTTATACTGGAAATCTGAACGAAAACGAAAATAACATTAATATCGAAGAATGCAGCTAGTGAAAAGAATGTTAATTTTGTAACCATAGTAAAAAAACTCCCCCATTCTTTAAACAATGGATAAAATAATACTCTATACACTTAAACCTGTATTGAAGGGCCGCATCAGTTAAAAGATGTATGAGGACAAGTGTCACTTCCCAGTTATTCCTACTATGAAAGAATAGTCGTTTTAAAGCACCTGAAAAGGAAATTGGGCTAGGGATGCTCATCTTAATCTGAATATAACACTAGGAACCAACGAACAACTGATTGAACATGGCCAAACACATGAGTTTTGGTCAGTAGTTCTTGATGTATTAACTCTAATTTCTAACCCTAACGTCCAACTGAAAATCCTAATCCTAATTTATAACCCTGATAACTATATGGATATTCTCAAAGTCACTCAGGCATCGCCCGAAGGTTGTCTATATGTTAGTTCCTTATTCGCATAAGTGCTTTGAGATGGATAAGTTATTAGCTCATATTGAAAAATGACCTATTGTAAATGATTTTACACTTGATTTTTCTCGATGTCAGACTGTCTACATTAGCCCAAGACAGAAAACGACCTAAACACACTACTGAAAGACAAACACCACTTAACTTATGGTAAGTCTTTCTTTTGATCTCTCTCGGTTTTCTCAAATCAAAGGAATCTTTTCCTCCAACTTATTATACAAGAGAAATACATGTTTTAGGCATCATTCGATAATTCTACGATTTGTAAATTTATTTATAACGCCTATTATCCTACACTCTTCTTCATTTTTTTCCTGGACTTTTTAAAGAGAAATATACTGTGTTCCTGAGAGTGTTGAAGGCTGAATGGTAGGGTGGGTGATGAATCTCTTGACGTTATTAAATGGTTGTGGACAGACATTTGAAATCTTGCAAATAACTGCTAAGTTTTAATCTGTCAGATCTAAACCATCTATTTTACATCTCTCGCGCTTTATTTCTTCATTTAGAAAGAAGCGAAGTTGTATTAGAATTCGTGTATACACAAAATTGAAAAAGCTCTACAATACCATAACTAACGCATCCTATTAAACGAAGAAATTGTAAGGGCTCTTGAACATCATATATATACTAAACAAACAGTGTTGGATTGACTCATAAACCGATTTAAGTTAGACCTCCATTGCATACCTGGAAGTACTGGATGGCCGTCTCGTCCTAGTATGACACTCCACACCAGTCCCCATTCATGATCCCGCATGTGGTACTCAAACCCAGTCTCTTGCGCGAACACTTAACCACCTCTAGACCACTGAACCGGCACTCAACAGTGTTAATGCTTAACCTCAGTCAATCCACGACATTTTGCGACCATCTTCCATTGTCTATGGTGGGTAACTGCCTTCCGATTCATATCCATATAGATAAACTTATATGCTAGCCCAAACACTAACGACAGTGAGAAGAATGCGAAATGACTAGTATGCTTAAACTGGTAAACCGAAGCAAGTGTACACAAACCATAAGCATAAATGAACCTGTCCTTCTGACCCAGACAAATACATGTGGGACGAAACCCTGAGTAGGTGTATGATTAGCTTCTTTCTAAAACGTACCTTATTTATAATTTGTCACATACCGTTCGACTTTGAGATGGGACGTGAGCACAGTCACGTGTTATGTCTAGACTGGAACATACCATCGAATATCGTATCTATTTGTGTAAATAGTTGCCTGAACAATAAATATGTCCATTTTAATATTACTCTTGATAGCTTATTTTCACTGAAGGATATGTTATATAGTGCTCTAAACTCCAATACACGTAGTACAATCATACTGATTGGTGGGCTAATCTAACAGTCTAAACTAATATATTCAATAAGAACGCATGGAATTTATTTGTTTTACCCCAAGTACGACTAACTACAGATGTAGAGTTAATTTATTCGAATATTTGGAATTAGGTTATTTAATTTTGCTCCATTTACATCAGTCTGATTTAGATGTGAAAAACAATAATGTCAAATGCAAACTTCCAACTGTTTATAATAATTTTGTAAAAACAATCTACATTTGAACAAATAGTTTCACAATACCTGGACCCCGAATTCATGGAAGACATTGAAAAGGAAATTATGCTTGTAAAATTTTCAGTGACTAAAATTAGGATAACTCCGACTTTCAGTAGTTGTGATCTTTGATTATTTACTAGATGCCTGGACCAGATCACTGGGGAGATCACCGAAATCATTACATATACAATTTCCATGTTTATATTTACGATAGTTGTTGATGACCATCTTTTCATTTAAATCATGATGTCTCAAACTATTTAAAACGCTGTATGAACTGAGGTTACTCGGTCGTCTTTCAGTGCATAATAAGTACGCAGTATCCCATTTTTCAGTTCATTTAATGAGTAAGATGAAAAATACAAATATAGTGAAATTTAAGGCTTAAAATAAAACCTCAGTTGGAAATTGCACTCTTATATCCAGCACTCACTCACTAATCAAATGAACAGGAAAATGCTGGAGACTCTAGATTTATTGAACACTAAGAAATGGCCGAACCAAGTCAGCAATCGTGGCAGTCGTGCGATAAAATGATAGGATGGGGAAACCCGAACAGTTAGGTCTTTTACTTGCTACGTCCTCTACTTGATTACTGCAGGATACGATATACAACAAACGACACTCGAACGTATAGAACCTCACAGTTGCAAATAACTAGAGAATGAGCGACCTACAAAATTGGTTTTATTTAGTTTATCAGACCTAGCCATGTTTATTCTTGTGTTCAGTATTTTGTATATATCCGTGCTATTTTTTTCAGACAAATAAACCTATTCTACTGGCCGGCTGTCTGATCTTCTGACATCAGTTCTATAGGGGTCTAGGGTAAATCATAAGATCTCGTGAGCAACTATCACGTGACCACATAGTACAATTACATGTAAACTATCAATCAGCGTTTTTTTTTTCATTACAGAAGTCGAAAATTCGTTCATAAAATCATGAACCTACTTCGGGATAAAAAGTTATAGTTAGAATGTGAGTTACACTGAATGATTGGAAATGACAATGATTTCAATTACAAATAGAACTTAATAAAATACTTAGAAATCAATCGAAATCTGAACACCACTTACAAATTATTAACTCAGAATCAAATGCACTTCACAAAGGATTCGTCATAAACGACAATCTTCATGTATAACAGAGTTTGTGGAAAGTCTTGAAGCCATTGGCAACTAAAATTCAGTCATAGCTTTGCAGTCAAATCTTTTTGAAATTTCTTCAACTTTAAGTTTGAAATCTTGGTTCCATGATGTCTAACTAAGTCTACATCACATGCGTTAAATTAGCCACCACAAACCATACATCAAACAACCTCATTAGAACCCACTTAGCGAAAAAAAAGAACACTATAAGTGCTCGCATAGTTGTAACTTAAATCGTGCGATAAATTTTCAGCCTAAAGAGAAAAGAAGACGTAAAATTGAAAATTCATGCCTACTTATCAATCAGGTGACGATAAAGGAACATCTGAAATTCTGTTTTAATTTTAGTTGTAGACAGAACAGAAATATGATTACCAAGAAAACAAGTCAAAACAACAAAACAAAACGAAAAGACACTCTAGTCATCTGACTTAGGTTTATATTAATCTATGGGACTTTAAAAAAATATTTATTTATTTATTTATTTGAACACATAAATATTGGTACAAGAGAGCGCCAATATATATGCGCCACACAAAACAATGAAAATTCGAAGAGAAATAGAAGGAAAAAAAAAACTAGGGAACGCAAAAGAAAAGGAGAACAATGACGAAGAGATTGGAGTAAGGTAGTGTGGTAGTAACGACGGAACGAAAAGGTACAATCAGAAGAAATCTTTCAGGTAAAGGAGACACAACCACTTTTTAGAAAGAAAGTAAAAGAAGGTTACAGCAGGATCGCCACTGGCTTCTATTCTGAGCCATATCTGATAACGTCTCTAGCCACTGTGTAGCACCATCTCTCGGACCCCAACCAGGGAGTCGTGAAGGACCAACACAAGCCAGTCCTTTGCAGCTTTCTTTCATGCCACGACACCATGTCATGCACTGACCACCTCTCCGCCTCTTCCAACCAGTCCCAGAGTCGGCAAATAATGCACGACGTGGAATTCTCTGGGACGACATTCGGAGAACATGTCCAAGCCACCGAAGTCGGTGTTTCAAGATGGTGACACCAATTGAGTTATCATCTCTGTGCCCGAACACACGATGCCGAACCTCTGCATTACTGACATGGTGTTGCCACTGAATGTCAGCAATCCTTCGGAGACAGCGATGATCGAACACAGAGAGTCGTCTAACGTCCTCAACTCGGAGAGGCCAGGTTTCACAAGCATAGAGCAAAACTGCTCTCACCGACGCGTTGTAGATCCGACCTTTTACAGCCAGACTAACATCACGAAGGCGCCAAAGGTGGCCCAGATTGGCATAAGCCGCTCTGGCTTTCACTATTCGTGCATTGATCTCATCACTCACACCCCCACCAGCACTTATGCAGCTACCCAGATACACGAACTTCTCAACTACGTCTATCTGCTCACCGTCCAGGGTGAGTACAGGATTAGAATCCTGCCAGTCTTGTAGAAGTACTTTGCACTTCGAAGGTGCAAAGCACATACCATACCTACGGACACTGATTGCCAACTGATTAAGTGCGGATTGCATGCCTTGGGCATTATCGCACAGTAAGACAATATCGTCCGCATACTCAAGGTCGAGAAGTCTTTCTCCAGGCAACAGATCCACACCACCATTACTTACATTCATCAGAGCTGTTTCCAGAATGTCATCGATGGCAAAGTTGAAGAGGAATGGTGAGATTGGGCAACCCTGCCTAACCCCACTGCTCGAATGGAACAATGGAGAGAGGTGGTTGTATGCCCTCACTCTGCCTGAGGTGTTTTTATACAGGGCTTTCAGGATGTTAATAAACTTCTCAGGCACACCCTTCTTCAATAGACAATCCCAGAGAACAGTCCTGTCCAACGAATCGAAGGCAGCCCTGATGTCAAGAAACACTACGATTGTTGGCCTTTGAAAAGTATGGCGGTGTTCTAAAAAAAATATATCTATTATTGAAGCTATTTACTGCATTTGTATATAGATTATCAATGAGATAGGTTTGAAATCAAACATGAACAGTGTGCCAAATTACTGGAAGAAAAAAAACAACACCAATTAACGTTCATGTAATAACCAAGATCACAGAAACATTCAATATTTGACTTTGTTTCAGAATAACAAAACATAGAATATAATAGAGGAAGTCTATATAGTAATATGCAACATTATTCATGTATGTCTATAATGTTCTTTTTATTTACGTATAATAACGATAGAAAAAATCAAGCTTTTTTTCTTCACAAAAACAAGAAATAGTTAACAATTAATACATATACATACACAACATCATTTACTTTTTTTTTCTCCTTGTAACTGAGTACACCATAATTGTTTAAAATTACACAAATACATGATTGATTTTATGAACAACTCTGTTTACACCTACATACATACATAAAAACGTATCATAAATGTCTACTTTAACCAAAGTGTTTCTACACTAAATTCATTTCACATAAGATAGTTTTTTTTTCTTTAACTAATCTCAATGTAACGTCAATTGTATTAAATGATTTATTGAATCTAATTAAACAAAAAGACACACCTTTAATTTTACAGAAGACAATTAAATCTATAATCAACGTTGTGTTTTTTTTTATAAAGTTGAATATAAACACCAAAAACAAGTATCTAGAATAAATTTAAACGGATGTGATTTATACAATATGAAGAGCATCCTGAAATATGTTTTCTTTTTAATCATTCATAATGCTGTAAAGGTAGAGATACTTGATGTTTATATTAAATTCAAGAAAATATATTGAAATACGTTATAAAAATTGTATATAATATTGTGGTGTGAGCTACTTATATTGATATAAGTAGTATATAACGTGCGTTAAAAGAACGTAATGTCCGGCAGCAGAAGATGGCGAAGATCGAGAAAGGAAGAGCAAGAGCACAATGGAATTGTAAGAAAACGCATGTACAATGGAATGGGCGACAATGGATTAGTGTTTGCAACGGGAACAGTACAGTTTGATATGATGGAATGATATTTTGCAAATTGACGATTGACTTTATGGTATTCACATTTTATTGAGATAGTCTGTAATCTTTGTGCTAAATACAATCGATTGTCCCCACCCGTGTTCTTGTTCACTACATTTGGTGTCGCTGCCAACCAGGAGAGGAGGAGTGTGCTGTTCTGCGGACGCCGTTGCGGGCCTGGAGTTGGGGTGCCAGTTGGGGCAGTCTGGTGCGGAGAGGTGGCGTCTGGTGAAGTGTCCTGGCGGGGCTGCGTTGGCTGTAGCGGGTGCTGTCGACGGAGTGGAGCTTCGGGACGCGCGGCTGCTGGGCGGACATCGGATGTAGATGGCTCAGCAGGCCGGTGGAGTGCGGATGTCAAGCGTCCCAGGTGCCGGATGGATGTTGGTTGTTGTTACCCCGGCAGGTCGACAGAGCTGTGGAAGCCAGCGCGCCGCAGACTCGACATCTTGACGGAGAGCGTGGCACAGACTGCAGAGACGGAGAATGTTGCGCGGCGAGCATGAACCACCACAAGAACGACTGCCTTATGGGGGGGGACGAGTGTGGTGTGAGCTACTTATATTGATATAAGTAGTATATAACGTGCGTTAAAAGAACGTAATGTCCGGCAGCAGAAGATGGCGAAGATCGAGAAAGGAAGAGCAAGAGCACAATGGAATTGTAAGAAAACGCATGTACAATGGAATGGGCGACAATGGATTAGTGTTTGCAACGGGAACAGTACAGTTTGATATGATGGAATGATATTTTGCAAATTGACGATTGACTTTATGGTATTCACATTTTATTGAGATAGTCTGTAATCTTTGTGCTAAATACAATCGATTGTCCCCACCCGTGTTCTTGTTCACTACAATATGACTGAAGGTTTTTAAATTTTTTAGCGAAGTTTCGAAAACTTACAAAAGTACCTTAAAAACTTTTCTGCTTTAAAGTAAAAAAAAAGGAAGTGAATCAGGTCCTATTGACTTGAAAGAAACTATGCGTTGAAATATACGTTATGATATCAGTTAATAAAAGAGGAACAAATTATCACATATATCTAAACTATTTGTTCTATAAATTAGTTTAATATCTCTACCAACACAAATATTTATCTTAATGCCTTATGGTTAAAACAAGATTAGAATTGTAGAATAATTAAAAAAAAGATAGATGTAAACAACTATCTTAAGCTAAAAGAGCATATGATCTAATTTCGCTAAATATTAAATTTTTCGAGACTCCTGTCTTTTTCTTAGGTTCCATAATTTTCAAGTTATTGTTAAAGCTTTGTGCATGTCAGTTCCCGTAATATCGAGTGCGTAAAAGATCTCGTTCATAGTGGAATAATATTGATAGTCCATAATTGGAAATCACAGTAGGCCCAACTGTTTTCATAAACTTAACAATTATTTAATCTAGGGATTAAGATGCCTGGCTTTTAGTCGCTAAGTCCTAAGGTCGAACCCCGATTTACCTAGTTCGGTTTTGGTAACCGGATGATATCAGTACCCCTTACATTTAGAGTGTGGCTCGTATATAAGTACCAGGTAAATGAATTACTTTAATGTATTTAGTCAAGTATATATGTCAAAAGATTGAAAGTTAAGCAAAGTCGTACTTATACAATTTACTGACAAACAATGCAACCAGAGATAATGGATTCAAAATCCGCATATATTAACCAAGTTCTATGAAATGATTTGTTTATGTAAAACAGTTATGATAAACTAGAAAAAGTTGAGAACATTTCAAATTTGTTATTCAGTGATACAGATTAGACATTGAGATGAAAAATTATTCTTGCTGAAGAAACTGACAATAAATGCATAATATACAACTTCAAGTTGATTCCCTGAAAACATTGAGCAAATGAATAAAATATTAATAGAATAAGATTAACCTGTATTGAGAATTCAGGATTGGGGTTACCAAGTACAGTACCACAAGGATGAAGACTTTCATCTGCCGTCTGAACCAAAGAGGGTGGCCATAAATTTAAAGTAATTTCACCAGTGATCATGAAACCATTGTGATCAAATAAATTGACATTACCCCAGCCATATAGGTATTCACACTAAAATCAAATGGAAAAATATTATACGAAAATGATAGAAATGTATTTAAAGTTTAATTTCATATCTTGATAACTGAGAATATATTTAATTTCCAATAAAAACTAACTGTAAAAAACATAAATTTTTGTACTAATACGCTGCGAAATTGTGCCCAATGGATTGAATAATCTAACATCTTTAAGGGCATAATTTTAAGCAGTCTAAGCAATCATATTGAAAATTACAATCGAGTGTAGTAGACTGAAGAGCTACTCGACCTCGCTCTTGAAGACTTGATGAACTATTCCCTTATGTGATATAAACAAACAATAAAAGACCTATGTATACAAGCCCTGGATATTTTCAAGACAAGGTTAACAGTATTGAACTCATATGATTGAGTGGGATGATATAAGGACGGGAACTGACTACATTAAGAACATACAAATTGTTGGAGTGATCCAGAAAATTGTTTGCAAAAGACAAGCAAGCATCAAGAAACACTAAGAAGCGTTTCATCCAATCAGCGTTCACTTGAAGTTTCAGCCAAAAATATCAAGGAAGTGAAACGTCACATGCAGAGGTTCTGATTGGCTAATTGCTACACTGCTACTACGTTTAGTAGCATTTCAGAATCTTCTAGCAACCCAAGGACATTTAAAATATTATAAAAACCCTGTATTAAAATGAACCTTGGAGTAAATTACTTCTTGCATGCTTTGCGTCTTCTCTCTTGTGTTCAGGTCGCTGTATGGTTCTAGCTTGGGGGTTACAGAATAGCTTAGGAGACGAATATAGCGTTCAAATTCGCAAGACTTATCACAAATCGACAGTAAATACAATCGCTTTTACAGGACCTTGTGTCACGCTGAACTGCTAGAACATTAGACGACACCTATTTCATGGCTGCAAAAAGTAATTGTTCCGAAGAAATATACTTTGAAGCAAACTGACACTACAAATAAAAACTGATTTAATAACTAATCTTGATCTGCTTAAATGTAGAATGGACTAAGTAAAATTACGAAAATCACATAACCATATTAATCCAAATGTGGAGCGGAGAAATTTCTATTTCATATACCAGTACATTGCATGAGCGGTAATTTAGGTATCTCACTAATCTCAACAAACTAAATTCAACTACACAGAATCATCTATTTTATCTATTGAATTTTAGGCAAATAACTTCAATCATTTTATACTGTGCGCTTTTTCTACCACAATATTTTGAAGTGATGTAAAACAAAACAGAATGTTCTTTTTCACATTTAATCTTTAAAGTATCATCAAATGAAAGACACTTTTACAAAGCATTTGTTGTTTCGGTCCTGATTGAGACAGTATAAGTTATTTACTAGTATAACTTACAAATCTCACGTTTTTTCGATCCACAATTTTCCTGATTCGTATAAGCGCTACACAGATGCGCGTAGCAATAGGTAGATCAGCTAAAAGAATGTGAAAATTAAGCCATTCACGCCATGTTAAGTAGTTTCCCGGTCTTTCTTTAGTTGTCTAGGAAAAAAGTAAAATACATTTCCATAAAATTCTATATTTTTGAAAAGATAAGCTTAAGTGAAAATACTTAGACATTAATACTAAATAAATGTTAATGCAAGCCAATAATAAAGTGGACAATAATTAGCTAACATAATTTTGTGTGAAGGATGATTATTACAATACCTGGTTCTAAAATCTAAAATGGACGAATGTGAATCCCGTTTAAACTCCAACAGTTGCTGCTTTGATCATAACCGCTCTTCAATCAATACCAAGGAATTTTTAATACGCTTATGATACATCAATGAGTGGATATGTTGACCGCTGTGCAAATTTTGTAATATTTTAATAGTTGAGATCATGAGTCAATTGAGGCTAGACCATCATGGAAAACTTGGAAGCACTGGACGGCCGTTTCGTTCTATTGCGGGACTCCTCAGCAACGTGTATCCACGATCTCATATCGCGAGATTTGAACCCAGGACCTATCGGTCTCACGCGCGAATCCTTAACATCTATACCACTGAGCCGATATCCAACGGTGTTATTGTTGGTTAATAAAGTTCATGAGTCAGTAAAATTACAAATACATGTAGAAATAGTTATAAATGAGTCAAGAAACCGTTTGTATTTCCAAAATTCTTATGCAGTATGTTTTGACGAAACAACCTATCAAAATCACTAGAAAGGGATTTTCATAGATCCAGCTAGCACTTGGTACAATTGAGAGGTGCAAATATCTATGGAGCGAATAATGAAAACAGTTGGGAAAACACTACCAAACTAGGAAACTTTTTAATAAAAGAATCGATTCCAAGTACTACTATCAACACGAAACTCGGAAAACAGAATGAAGTACTAAGTATATTGTAAAGGAAAGAAAATTTTTTTTCAGTTTTAGAGATGTAAATCTAAATTCCAATAAGATGAAATAATGTAAACCCTTTGAGAAACACATAGCTGATAGTCATTAACAGATAGAATTGGAACGCAAATACATGAAATATCAAAAGTTCATATACCATAGAAAGTAAGTTTGAGAAATTAAGAAAAAAGAAATATTGACACACAAATAAAATACTGTATGACTTTGGTAAATCCGAACATTTTTATCCCTCTTCTTTTGAACAGAGTTGATAATTTATACTCAAATCCAGCGCAATTCTTTAAAAGTGCCTAATTCCTTTTTTCAGTTTTGTTGAAAAATGTAGCAACTTAATACAGAGTGTAGTAATTTGGTTAAAATAGTTCACTGAGACAACCATTTAACGAGACTAGCATGATACAGATTTTACACATATTCTAGTCCTAAAGAAGGTAACGCCAATAGCAGTTTAGGGGGAGCAGTAGCAAGATTAAATCTCACAATAAAGTAAAGTTGTCAGAAGGCTACCCAAAAGTCAGGTCTGAGAAGCATAACAACAAGAAAGTGAATAAACCTTAAAACACATCGCCTGAATACAACCTACAGTTAGTTGATAGTGAAAAATGTTCAAGACATTACTGATAATTCAATGGTTTTGCAGAACAAACAATAATTCGTTCCCTTTAATCTAGGAAAATGCCACTAAGATAATAATATACGAGCATATGATTATTTCATAATTGGAACCTATAAAAATTGAATGATTGCTTATTTTTTACAAAGGAAAAGTAAATTTTAAAGCTATCGAATATATATATATATGATCACCTTACTTGACATTCAATTAAAAACTGACTACCATGAAATATTCCCACTCGTACAACATAACTTCCATCCAAAGCAGCTCCACCATGTACGCTTGTATGCTGTACAACATTTAAGTTAGGATTTGACTGATGTACTGAAGAGGACGAAAATGAAATTGTTGATAAAGAGAGGGAGGTTGTGGAAGAAGAATTTAAATTTGTAATATTTTCGACAAGAAACTGTGCTGAACAAACTTGTATACTTAAAAATCCACTTAATTCCCAAAGAGATACATTTTGTTGACGGTCAGAAGTGAGTGTAAATGGAGATGTTAAATTCTTTTGAATACCTTCAGCATTTTTTGAAGAACAGTTTTCAGATAAGAGGACTGTGTGAGCACTATCAATATCGTCAAAAGCTGATGTATCATCGTCTTTGTTGAAATCAACAGATGATCGACAGTCGATAAAATTGTCGTCAATGTTGCTTATGCATTCATCAGTCTCACATTTATCAAATTTATCATGATTGATTAAAAAATTTTCTAACTGTTGATATAAATCAATTGAGTCATTGTTGTTTTTATCAAAGTTATTGGCATAGGTATTTAGGGTGGATTTTGAAGAGATTATCGAACTATCATTGTTATGATTCAGTTGATAGATAGGATTTTTATTATATTCATTAAGACAGTTATGCAAACTTTGTTTAATGTCGTTCTTTAAAATTGGACTTAAACAAGGATGTTGATGATGTTCAATAGATTGTTGTATATATTCATATTGAATGAGTAATTCATCCAAATCGAATAGATAAGCTTGTGAACAACAAACTTTCAGTAAATAATTTGATGCATCTGGGAGACCATAACTCATTTTAACTTGAAAATCTTGTCTAGCCAGTTCAGCTTGAGCATGCAAAATTTCATTTAGAGCGTTAAATACAGTAGCTTTCTTATCCAATTCGAGGACAACACGACATTTTTCCGGTGGGTCTTTACCATCTAATACCCATGCTGTTATTGTAAGATGTGTTTGCTTTTGGAGAAGAACTTTTAATGACTGGCTTAACTCACGTTTACTAGCTGAAGTTAAGTAACGGATCAAGCCATCTGATCCGGTTTGATTCAATGCTTTTGTATGCATATTAGCTACACGTAATAAACGTAATCGTGCCCATTTTACTTCAGGGTTTGTTCTACAAGCACGTATGATATCTGTATGTGGTATACCTGTACAACTGAAATATTTAAAAAGTAAGTAAAATTTGTAAACTATATAATGCAATAATCAAAGAAATTTCAATATCAAAAAATATATCACGGAGAATGTAACTACACCAATAAGTAAACTGATATACACTCTCAGTCAATTAACGGCTCATTAAAATCCGTGCACACAAGCAAAAGTATAAAAGTTCTATAATACCTTACCTAGCAAATATACTCTGTGACGAATAGGTTGTTAGAATTAACCTAGTCAATACCTTACATTCTTAACATGTCTTTAATTTTAAAGTTTGTACAGTTTTTTTGGGTTTTTTTATTTCTTTTTGTATTTGCTACTGCCTTTTTGTTCGTTGTTCAGTAAGTAACTTGTTGAAATACCCTGTGCTGAGAATTCTATATTGTACCAAAATATAATATTGAATAAAGCCATTAATAATAATAATAATAATAATAATAATAATAATTCTTAAACTAAGTGTTTGTCTAGACCGGCTATTTAACATAACTTAATGCCTAACTGTGATAAATGACTATTAGTCACGTCTTGATTTTTTTCAACGTGATGATATGGCTTTCCGTTTGTTTAGCGTCTTCGCAGAACAGGACTACCATTCACATGCTGTGGGTTGAATAGAAGAGCATATAACCTTCAACTGCTGAGGTTGAATATTTGAAACACGGTCCAACTGTTTCAATCTATGCGGTCGTTCGAATATCACTAGTTTTCAAAACAAGCGTAGTTAGAAAGGTATATAACTTCTTAATAATCCCCTATAAAACTGTATGCTTTTGAATTATTTTTCTGTAGTCAAACCTATATGCTTGGTACTCTTCTTAAACCCAAACACTGTGAAGCGATTCTTGAGCGGTTGAGTTAAAAGCCTTCCTCAAGTTAAGGAAAATATAGATTTTAAAATATTAAGTACTCTTGTATTTCTGGGCCTAGTGTGACATGATTGAGACATCCCCACACAGGCTCCAGTCAGGTATTGAGTAATTATGAACCCTAGAATTTAGAAGACTGTTAAGACAACCTACGATCATTACAAAATGATTCTTATTCCCTCTAATAAAATAACATTAGCAATCACTGATATTTTTCTCATAACTCATTTATTATCTCAACCAACTAGGACGTTGATTTTTGGCTGGATTCCTTGAGGAAACTTTTGAACGTTACTTCGCCTACCTTAGCTTTTTCAGAGTTCTCTAATTTTATTCATAGTTAGACGCTCGATATTGGTTTCGTATTTGTGTTGCTCCCTCTACTGTATGGCAGAAATGCAGTCATAGAGCTATCTTTACATGATGTCACAATATGAAGATTTGTTTGCATTTTATTTGCTTTCTGAAATATGTTAAATGTTATAATTAGGCTAGTTTTGAGCTCTACATCTACGATTACCATAATTAGAGTGTTTCTAGTCTCACTATGACTATAGTAACGATTCAACTACTGAGTATAATACAAGTGTAGACAGTGGCATTAGTAGTCTCAACTCCTCGAGAATTAGTAGTACATTTAGCGCATACGGATATTATAGTAATCGTATTAATACGTAACTGATGAGACCCGTAACTTTGTAAGCACTCACTTACAACCCTTACGTTTGATATTCGAAATCTGTTAGTCACAGTAATAAATCAACTTTTCATTATTACTGAATTTTGGAATTACTTGGAATTTACTTGACAAATTAGCTGCTAAGTCATACTAAACTGTACTAGCAGTACATAAACTAGTTGATGTGAAAGTTCCATATGCATAAAGGCAATGATTTATCGTAGATCATTGCATAAAAAACTTTATTTCATGCCACAAACAACAGTGAATATGGACATATTAACTGTGATGTTGATACCGAAAAGAATGCTTGCTAACTTGAAGTATTTTGAATCTTCAGCAGGGATAAATCATGGATTTAGGGTGAATGAAGTATTACATCACCTTGGGTTAGTAGAAGCTTAGTCGTAATGCACGTAAACTTAAAACTAGTAAACTATTTACATTTAAATGACGATAGTTGGAATTCTTGACTATCATGTTTTGTACTTACTTTTTCTAACAATTGCGAAAACTATTTTTATGGTTTGTTATCAGTGGAGTTTAACTACTCAGACAAAAATTATATTTGAAACATTAGTTGTATAAATATTCATATTAAACATCAATGTGTCAATAGACGATAAAACTCATTGCTCTAATGTAATGACCTAAAAGAAAGCAACAGCATTTAAAATGTAAGGTTAACATTAATATTTGTTTCTTCTATTTCTCTAGTTACGAACAATCAAATCAGGATTATACATTCGTTATTCAATAAGAAGAAAATAAAAGGTTATGAGAATTGTTGAGAGGAATAATTAAGTTGAAACATCAACATTACACTGAGATGTGTTTTCAACTACTTATAAGTAGTCACATTTGTGTATCATCATTCGTAATTTAAATGTTGGATTAATTCGTTAATGAGATACCAACTTTTTTTCCTATTTGATCATAGAAGTACAATTTCGATCCCCTCTTAGACTAATCCTACGCACATTTAAGGAATGTATGATAATGTCTGATAAAGCCTTGAAATTAGATGGATTTTTCTCTTCAAATATTATTGTACTTGGTTTGAAAAAAATGGTCAAAGAAATATGCTCAACTGAGCGGTTCGTAACATTCATCCATGGTAAAATTTTCAGCCAGAAACCCACCCCAGTATTACTTGTTACAATAAAATGATCAGAAACGTGCTAAATAGAGACAAACAACAATGTTTTGAAGAAATAAGTGAAGGAAAACTTCGTGATTGATGAGTACGTTAAACTGTACCGTTTTGAATAAAACTGTACCGTTTTGAATAGAAAGACAAAACCGATACCATTCAAAACTACTTGTTATGAACAACACGAAAAAACTACAGCATGACTGACACTGGATATTATTTTGATTCATGTCTGACAATGTATAAATCAGTTGAGTTACACAACTTCTAGGATCCCCATCTAAAGAGCCGTGATGAACAGGTGAATTGTAAGCCGATATAATTGTTCCTTCTTCCCTGACCTCATATCATGAACTGAATGCCTGTTTGATTTCGTGTTCATCCCCAGTGTCAGTACATAATGCACAATATGGAAGCCGCTAAGCCAGATTGAGTGAAACATGACCAAAATGTTTTAAGACGGCAGAATTATAATCTTCAATGATAAAGGTCCCACAAAAACATCCGAGCTAGCAGATAGTTGGTAGAAAATGTAATTTTCATTTTTCAACACAAAAATAATCACCTGGAGATCGCAGCATTTTGATTACTGATTTTTAATAGGGTAGTATCTCTTGCAATTTCAGTAACACGTAAGTAAGGTAAAAGAAGTGGAATTTCATGAAGTCGACGATTTATATCATAAAACTCTTCTTCGTCACCAGTTTCTCGGTTAACACCAACAAATATGTAGTCATTCTTTGATTGTAATATATCAAATAATGGTAATTTTGCTGCGGAAATCCAAAGCTGTACTTTGATTTCTTCTAATGTTGATTCTGAATTCACCTGAAAAATTATACACAAACAATATGATCGTTATACATTTTTGGTTGGTTTGTTAGGTTCTAAGCATTATGAAATCTTGACATGTGAAATAATATCGGTTGGACATTCATCTAAAAACAAGTATAATTGTCTCAATAGTAATGACATATCGGTTTGTGAAGCTACACTACACATAAAGAAAATAGTCAGAAAATAAGAAAGCCGACTGAGAAACATTAACACAACAGAAATACAAACACGCTTGATTTGTATAGAAATATGAGTAAATCCAGTTGAACTACTTAGATTATTTGTATAGTCACTGGGTAAGGATACGCTTCAAATATATGAACTTAAATGGCGCTTGGGATGAAACAAACTGACCACGTAACTTACTTAAAACCGACTAAAATATGTAAACACACTAATCCATACTATTTCATAGCTCCTTTGTGACAGCCTATTTAACATGAAAATTATTATAAAGAGTATGTACAGACCTCGAGTACTGCGGCTAAACTTAACCCAATTTCAAGGTTCTTGTTATAGGGTTCATAATTTAGTCTATGTTCCTTTGACCTATTAAGTCATCTTAAAGATCCTAGTCAACAAAGATTTACAACTATATTGAATTTTTGGCTCTCATTAACCAAAAACAAGGGCTTAATTATCAAATTGACTTCTCGTTCGTTTATTTAGAAATTAGTAATATCAACCACCAGCAATCTGATGTTTTTAAGACTAATAACGATGAATAACAACAGCACAATAAAAAAGTAGGCAGTTATGAGGTCTATTAACTCGGTGGTCAGTAGGTGGGTGCTAAATATGTCCAACAGGTATTATAATTTTTGAGCTCTAATACATAAATCCCAAAATAAAAGATTTTTCAGACAACTGCTTTACAATCGACTGACGCATTCTATTAGATTTACGAGCTGGCAAACTATCTGGCGTTATGATCATTTCACTGGCCCTATAATGATCACTACATTAGTGGTAAATGTAGCTAAACTCACAAGTATTTATGTGATGTAGGCTACTTATGTTGACAAATATAAGTAGTATGTAACACCAATCAGAAGTGGGATGCCTGGCAGGAGAATGTTGAAATCGAATTGAAGAGAAAAGGAATGTAAACAGAGAGTAATTGTAACAACAGGAATGAAGGAACGGTGAAGTTTGTAAGAAACAATTGATGGAAGGTGTACAAATGAAGCACTTAACGTATGGTTTTTATATTTTACGAAAACATCCTTTAATAATGCAAATGTATTATTGAGATGTGAAATAAACGATGTAAAATTACTCAACTGATGAGACGGCTATGATAATCAGAAAATTATAGATTTATTTTCTATAGATAAAAAATTACAGAGACAACTTACTGTAAGTGGTATTATAATCCCATTAGGTAAGAGAAATTTTATAGTTATATCCGAACCAACCAGTAGGGAGAATGTCCTTTTAAGTTTAGCAGTTGGAGACATGAAGTTAACCAAGCATTTAGTATGTGAATATCACGCTGAAAAGAAAAAAGGACCAGTACCATAAATCATGATAGTTAAATTAGTTCAGACTTATGTGCAATCCTCTGATCCAGTTACTGAGACCACCGAACTAATCTGTTCCTTAAACCGAATTAAATGAGGAGAAGAATGATGGCTAGCAGTAGAATCCAAGACACGGGTTTCGCTCTATCAGGTAGTGGCGTTCGAAGTAAACGGTACCAGGTTCGAGTCGAGGAGCGAGTAAGTCCAGAATGCAGTGACATTCGGCCGACGAGCCCAAAGTAGAGTGAAACGCGCGCCCTGAATTTCACTGTTAACTACCATCCATCTCTGCCTATAATTCTAGTGACTTAAGGAAATGTCGAAGCAATCGGACGCATATATCCCAAAAGAGACTGATCTATTGTAGTTTTGAACATCAAATAAATAATACGAAATTGAACTAAGTGGGGAGAAGGTCCATACCTATGAGATAATGACTAAATACAAATTCTTCGTCTGGTAAAAGTTTCAAATCAAATCATAAATAAAAGTTACAGAAACAATACATGCCTTATCACAAATTACTAAGTAAATGATGTTTTGCGTGTTTTGATTTTTGTATTGTGTCAGATGAAAGAACAGACCCATCATTTCAAATGTTTGTATTTCTGGTAGTGTATAAAGGTGGTGTACTAAAAACACACAAAAATGGCTTACGCATGGTTTTTCTATCTAATTAACCCATCCTCTGTAGTAAATTTATTTTCTTAAAAATACTGAATCCACATAATCAGTTAATGACTCAGATGAGAAACACGTACTATTAGTAAGAAGCAAAATAAAGTTTTGACAGTAGACTATCAGCTATAACTTTGATAATGACTCCACAAAACGGTTTATATTTTCAAGACAGTACACAAACATAAACCAGGATGAATCAGAATGGAATCTAAGACGTTCAAAACAAGGAGACATATTGATATAAATGTAAACGGCTATTTCACAAAATTGGGAGGGTAAGATGTCGAACGAATCAGTCAGCAACAACGGAGAACTTTGTACGTACGTACAACAGTTCAGGTTGTCATACCACATTAGCACAGAGATGCAATTGTCGATTGAAATCCCATAATGGTAGGGGCAGTAAAAGTATAGGCAGCGATCGAAAAGATTAGATTTTGGAGATGTTATTCAAAGAGTATAATCCAGTGAAATAAATTTGGGAAGAGAAAAAGAGGGACATGAAGAATACGGAAGATTAGAATTTGGCAGAACACAAAGAGTGAATGCACCTGCTCACATCATTTCAAACGATTTTGAGCCATGTCATTCAAGGTCTCTAACCATCGGTTTCTATCGTCTCGCGGATCCCAACCAAGTAGTCCACACCTACCAACATGGCTCAGTCCACTTGTCAGTGACTTCATGGGTTTATATCATGTTTTGGTCTGACCACCCCTAGCTTTCTTCCAACCTAATCCTACACCATAAAACATAGCACGTCGAGGCAGTCGGTCGTTGGGCATACGTAACACGTGTCCCAGCCATCTCAACTGATGAAGTTTCACTACTTCATCAATTGGTTTGTCATCCTTACCTAGTACCCGTTTCCTAACAACTGCATTACTTACTCGATGGTCCCAGGATATACGAGCAATATTTCGAAGGCACCTATGATCAAATACTAGTAACCTACGGATATCCTCTACTCTTACTGGTCATGTTCAACTGCCATAAAGTAGGACGGAACGAACTGCTGCGCAGTAAACCCATCCTTTGGTTGGTAGACGGATATCTCGCCTACGCCATAAACGACGCAAGTTGGATAATCTAGTCAAGCCTTCTGTACCTGTGCTGAGATTTCGTCACATACCATACTTCAAAGGCTGATCAGACTCCAAAGATAAGTGAAGCAATCGACACGCTCAATCACTTCACTCCCTATCATTAGTTCGGGTGTCAATGCAACCCAATCCTGAAGCAACATTTTGCATTTCGAGGGGGAGAATCGCATCCCGAACATGCTTGCATTGTTGCTTAGAGTGGTCAGAAGACTCTGCATTTTGTCAGCGTCTTCGCCAAATAAAAATATGTCATCGGCATATTCCAAGTCAACAAGTGAACCTCCCGGTAGAAGTTCAACCCCTGGAAATCTAGACGAGGAAAGTGTTATCTCTAGAAGTACGTCGACAACAAAGTTGAACAAGAATGGAGATAGTGGGCATCCCTGACGAACACCACTTGAGGTAATCAATTCTGATGACAGTTCGTCATAAGCTCTCACTCGACCAGTTGTGTTCGAGTAGAGAGCCTTTATAAGGTTAATGTACTTCTTTGGTACTCCTTTCAGTGAAAAACACTGCCATAGAACCTCACGATCGACAGAGTCGAATGCTGCTTTAAGGTCGAGAAATACTACCATTGTGGGGCGTCTGAATGTGTGTCTGTGTCCTAGGACCTGACGCAGTGTGAATATTTGGTCTATACAACCATGTCCAGGTCGAAAATCAACCTGGTTTTCTCTGGTTTGCTCTTCACGAGCTTTAGTTAGGCGTCGAAGTACTATTGAAGCTAATATTTTAGACACTATATTTGTCAAACTGATTCCTCTGTGATTGTCACCAGAGGACTTTAGTCCTTTCTTATAGACTGGCACAATCAGTGATCGAGACCAGTCAGATGGGGTTACGTCCAGTTCCCAGATTCTACTTAAAACCCCAGTCAATCTCACTGCTAACACTGAACCGCCATCCTTGAAAATCGCAGGGGTAAACCTGAGATAAATCGTACTTAAATGAAGTGAAATTGAATGGAACTCCTTTACAATAATCACTGCTACTTAACAACAACCTACTTGTAAATCGAGAATTTATAGGACCTGATACCCTATGACACCAGTTTAACGGTGAATATATATAATCCACATAGGCCATCCGCAAAGAATATAGGCGTTGTGTTCCTTTTTACAAGATACTCTGTTCACATAGTGGTGTGGACCAATCTCCACAGTCTCCGAATATACTCAGTACGCGAGCAGCTGGTTGTTGGATAATGCATTCGACTTATACCTATTAGGTTGTAGATTATAACGTTTTTTCGTCCATCGGGATGTATGTAGCTCGATAATGTCACTAACTTTACCACTGAAAAGTACAAACTGAAGTCAAAGCACATGAGTTCGCATATGATTGCTGAATTTCACTGAAGGCAATCCAACTTATTGAACATGCTCCAAAAACATGAAATTCCCCAAATGCCCTGGTATGGCCGAGAGTGGGGTGGGTTCGCCCTCCCTCTCGAAATGCTCTCACACGGCCACGCGTATACAGCCTCTGCCAGGGAAGTTCTACTCATTACCTCGTGGCGGGGGTGTTGTTTACGAAAATGAGAGGACGAAAAGCGAATGTCCAGCGCTTTAACAGGATCACAAACCAATGGTGCACATGGGCTCCAGTATCCTGCGGGAACAAATGGCGTATGAACCAATCACTGGTCACCGGCCACCATGGGAATGCATCTCCTCACGATGCTCCACTGCCTTGTGGATCAGACCTTTAGGTCAAAGGCTCGGGGTGTGGCCACCTAAGAAAACTACCTGGTTCGGTTTGGGCACCCGGGCAGTATCACAGCCCACACACACACACAAATATGGTGTGGCGCATATATATTTGGTGCCCTTTTGTACCGATATTTGTGTTGAAATAAATAAATAAATTTAAAGAACTGGTTGATTTTGGATAACGGCATAAATGCTCATATGTTCCATCTGACCTATATTTGGTATGTTATAAAAACCGACCAGCAATATAAAACCAAATGATTCATAGAATAAGTGGACATGTAGAACTTAGATCAAACAGTCTGACACTTTGAGACTGATTCCTACTGAATAAACGGGAATTAAAAAGATTAGAATCAAGTGATATGTGCTGTGAGAAAAGTAGGTGGGACTGACTACTAAAGATGCTGAAGGTATATCGACAATCACCAACTTACTTGAGAGTCTACAGGCTCTCATCCTATAGGATGATCAACGAGGATTTATAAGTCAAATCGTGAACTGAATCATCAGAAATACATTTGAAAATCAAGGGATACAACTAGATTTTAAGATATCTTCAGTATCCTGGCACTCTAACATATAGTATTTGAGGCTATAAGATGGAAATTAGGGTGGAATACTTCACCTACAGTTTAACGTTATACTGCACGGGAAGGTCGGTAAGAAACGAGATAATGACCTAAGGGTCTTACTCCAAACCACAATAGTAAAGCCAGAGATAATTCGTCTCCTAAAAACATCATAACGTAAGGCTGGTTGGTGACCATCAACTAAAGCAACCAATAAAGATAAAGGGAGAACAAGAGGTAAATAACGGGGACATTCCGTTAGGAATAAGGGGAAAATAGTTGAGAGGCGAGTCAAAGTCCCATTTCCCGCCTGTCATGAGGAAATAATGAGAACCTTACCCTTTTTGTCGTTCTGCATTCGAGATGCAGCCGAATTTTTTTACTTTTCGCCTTAATATATGCCTTTATCACTACTTTCCCAGTAGCTACTAGGGCACAACGAAGTTAACTACGCGATATTGTAGTCAAAGAAGGGTAGTCCGAAAATCATTAAACGAAATTAAACTCAGTATGCTCACTCCCAGTAAAACTGTCTACCTTTCAAAACTAAGGTTGATGAACAACTGATTATAAAAACAACCTCAACAGCTGATACAGCCCCGACCTTGAAAAATAATTTGTTTGGCGCTATAGATTTCAGCAACTAACAATTGAATGATCAATGGGTGGTGACCAATATCACGTGTGTCAAGTCCTTCGTAGTGCAGATCGAATGCAATCGAAGAAGTTTTAACCTGACAACTAATCTAGGATACTCGACATTGTGTGCACTGTGTTGAGATTAGATGGTGGTTAGAAATAGTCAACAGGAAACCCTCGACCCAGGTTTCGTGCTACTTGACACTCCTCGGCAAGGTGTAATCTTG